ATAACTTAGCAAGTGATTTCAGTGTTTAAATAGCTTTGAAATAAGATTTTACATTTTTGATTAGCTTATTTTTATAGCAATTGAGATTGACAGCAAATAGTGGAAAGTTCCTGCTGAGTTTCTGTATACCACTGTTTTCCTCACTGATACAGCTTCCCTTCTCCATACCAGAGTGGCACATTTATTAAAAGCAAACTGGATTTTAAAAGTCATTATAATTTTTTTTTTAAAAAGTCATTATAATTTTGTTTTTGTAGGTAATAAAGCGAATGATAAAATGTTGTTCTCTGCTGAATTGCCATACACAGGTGAGTTAATATACTGGCTTATTTGTACATATGTTAGGAAAACTTAGGCCTGGGAAGACTTCCTTTTTATATCAAACTTACTGAAATTTACAGTGTTCGGGAGGAGTCTGGCATATTGTTTAAATTTATTTTAGAAGTTCATAGAATTTTGACTAAAATGAAAGTTTCAATTATAAACATTGACCTTTGAACCTCCTTACTGGAAAAGAGGCATTGTTAGGGTTTCTTATATTTCACATTATATATTTACATCAATTACTAGGGATATTAAGTCAAAACCCCATTGAGATATTACTTTACCCCCACGAGAATGGCTGTAATCAAAGACATTTAACAACAGCTACAGGTGAGGTACAGAGAAATTAGAGCCTGCCGTGCAGGTCAGACTGCAGTGGTACAGGCTTTAGAAAACAGTTGTCAGTTCCTCAGAAAGTTAAACATAGGAATTACCGTATGACCCAGCAGTTCCAAGGTAAATCCATGAAAATTGGAAACACATGTCCACAGAAAGTTGTATGTGAATGTTCATGGCAGCAGCATTCACAGTAGCCAGAGAGTAGAGAAGTTCAGTGTTTATCAACCAGTGAATGTGGTGTCGCCCTACAGTGTATTACTCATCCATAAAAATGAAATATGCTTATCACACTGCAAGATGGATATAAGTCACATATGTATGTCTATAATAAGCAGATTTATAGACAGATCAATTTGCAGACATAAATTAACAAGCATCAGAAATATGTACAGTTATCTACTGTTAATATGAATGGATTCTTTTCAGAGGGTGATAATGAAAACTTGAGAACCACATAGTGGTGATGAGTATTCAGTTTTGCAAATATACTAAAAGCCACTGAGTGGTGTGCTTTAAGAAGGTAATTTTCATGAGTTACATTAATAAAAGTATTCCCAGTATTTTTTCAAGAGATTAACATCGTGACTATATAATTGATTGAATACTTTCCATGGTAAGCAGATCAGTAGCTTAAAGCGTTCAGTGGTGAAAGGTTTAATTGCATGTTTTATGTGTCCTTGAAGGTCCTGACATTTGGATTTGGTAGTTTGCCATCCACTTCAGTTCAGTTTTCTGAACTGGCCATTTGCCAGCTTCTATTTGTAATTTATGTCATAGATGAAGAAAATATTGGTCAGATATTTTGGTAAAGGTCTTTGAAATTAAAATTGGATGGAATGCATAAGTACCCATTTGGTGTGGTCTACGAGGCTTCTTTAAAAGTAATATTCTTGGGGCTGGGGATTTAGCTCAGCGGCATAAGTGCCTGCCTTGCAAGCAGGCAGTTGTGAGTTCGATCCCCGGTACCAATAAAAAAGGAAAAAGACAAAAATAAAATAAAATAAAAGTAATACTCTTTATATAAGAATAATTAAAGATTTCCAGGCATGGTGGTGCACACCTGTAATCTCAGCACTTGGGAGGCTGAGGCTGGAGGATCACCACAAGTTCAAGGCCAGCCTGGACTACACAGCAAGACCCTGTCTTAAAGAATGATTAAGACAGGTGAATTATTGTTACATGAAACCATTTTCATTTTCAAATCTTTGTTTATTTAGGTGGCAATTTTATGTCAGTTCCTCAGAGAAATTGATTACAAAACAGCCTTTAAGTCACTACAGGAACAAAACAGGTATGATTGGTTTTTTTTAAGTAAGTGGAGATTTTCTGCTTAAGAAAGTAGTAACTGAATTCTCTTTTTCAGTCATGATGCTATGGACTCCTACTATGACTACATTTGGGATGTCACCATCTTGGAATACTTGACTTGTATCCTACCCATGTTTGTAATCTTGTAACAGTTTATTTCTGTAAATTAAAGTCCTGCATACAAATTAAAACTGAAAAGCCATCCTGAGAGCAGACATTATTCTTAACTTAATCATTCAGACCTTCATCATAAAAGGGGAGAAACAGATAAAAGACAAATCGCAGTAAGTTCCTTTATACCTTTTCTTCAGGGATTTCCTTAAGTCTCCAGATTTTAACATTTGTAACAGTAAAAACGTCTGCCCAGTTACTGCCAGAATTTGTTATCAGTGTTTACTTTTTAGAAGATTCTTTTTGATAGTATGTTATTCCATTTTATTTTAAAATGTTAGCATCATGTTTTTTCTGTGCTGTAAATCTTCAGATGATTTCTCCCCTCAAAGTTCTTACGGTAGCTACAAAGCCACATAAAACGTGGCCTTTGCCTTACCCATCTGCCTCCCTCCCCCTCATTAACTTCTGGGCCAGTAACCCTCAGGTGGTTTGAATGTGTCAAGATTCATCCACGAACTAGTGGACTTTACAAGATTCTTTTCTAGGACATCCTGACCATCTTACAGTGTGGCCCCCATCTTGCCCACCCCCATGTTTCCCTGTGAGGATAAGGAATTGGCTTGCTTGTAGTTGGTCACTAGAAGAAAGCCTGCAATGTACTAGGTGTCCAGTAAGTCAATTATTTAAATTCAACTTATGCACCAAAACTTGTATCTTTTTGAGACAGGGTCTTGCTATGCAGTTCAGGCTGGCCTTCAGCTCACCTTGTAGCCTAGGTTGGTCTCAAACTTGCAATGATCTTCCTGCCTCAGCCTCCCTAGTGCTGGGATTACAAGCATGCAGCACCACACTGGCTTAATATTTTAAATTTTAACTACCTAACATTTGCTTCACTTATAATTACTCATTGCAGATGTTTTAATCTGGACTATAGCTTTGCTCCTTGACTACACTGTATGCCTGTTTAAGGAAGCAGACCAGTAAACAGCATCTTTAAAAAAAATAGCAAGCCAGACGTGGGGGCACACACCTTTAGTTCCAGCCTTTGGGAGGCTGAGGCAGGAAGACTGCTGAGAGTTCGAGGCCAGCCTTGACTACACAGGGAGTTGAAAACCTGCTTGAACTACACAGAGTGAGTCCCTGCCTCAAAACAGAAAACAAAAAAACAAAAACAAAACCATGAGTAGCCTCCTTGATTGGAGCCCACTTTCTTCCATTTCCAGCTTACCTGGAGCTCATCTTTACCAGTTCCAAACCATTTTTTTAACATGGGTCATTTTCTTAAGCCCGTTTGAAACATGCTTACCTTGTGTTTCACCAAAACTAGCTGCCTCTTTCTGTGTGGGTCAGAAAGATGCCATCACACTCAGGTTTACAGGTTTTTGCCAAGCTCCATTGCAGTGATCATCACCTTTACTCTGAGTCAGCCATCACAGCCATATAGCCATAGCTACAGCCATGTTGGCCATGATCAATGTTAGTCTCTTTCCTCCTTCTCTGTAGAGTTACACCAGTATGTGTGCTCTAAGCAGACTGATTTGTTCAGTCTTTGGTGAGGCTCCCTAGGTGGTCGGAGAATGTCAGCAAACTGACTTATCAGGTTTTTTTTTTCAGTGAATATTTCAGCATCTCATGGATTTTTGTTTACTTGTTCTGGAAGAGTCTTACCACTGAGTCTTCTTGAGAAAAGTCTTACAATTGTGCCAGCATGCCACTACTAAACCATAATCTCCAATATTAGATCCCTTCTTAACTTTTTAAATTGTTCTACCTATGACTTAACTACCCTACTTTTTTCAGACTTTTACATTCCCTGCCCTCTGCCTTTTCCATTTTCAATGATTTCCTTGGCTCTTGTATGCTTGGGACAGATCACAAGAAAGACTGATCAGCCCTTGTCCTTATGGAAGGTATAGTTTAGAAAGTATAACACTATTGGAGCACCAGCTTCAAATTCTTGTGTTGGTCCCGACTTTATACCTTGAAAATAACCCACTGTTCAGGTCAGTAAGGGTTTATGCCGGTATTTTTTTTTTTTTTTTTTTTTTTTGTCTTTTTGAGACAGGGTCTTGCTATGCAATTCAGGCTGGCCTTGAGCTCACTCTGTAGCCCAGGCTGGTCTCAAACTCGCAACAATCCTCCTGCCTCAGCCTCCCAAGTGCTGGGATTACAGGTGTGAGCACCACATCCTGCTCTATGCTGGTATCTTGTTGAAGTCAGTTTTTTTTTGTTTTTTGTCTTTTCCCTTTTTATCGGTACCGGGGATCAAACTCATGACTGCCTACTTGCAAGGCAGGTGCTTATGCCTCTGAGCTAAACCCCCACCCCCCTGAAGTCAGATTTTTAAGCTTTTGATTCTGTCTCCTCACTTAGCTTTTATTAGTCACCTCCTTACCTATTTTGTCAACCTCTTACTGTCTATAAATTCTTTCATCCTTAATAAAAATGATTTCCTATTGCTTCTGCCTCCAGCTGCTTCTCATCCTTCTCTGCCTATTTTTTTTTGAGTTCAGCCCAGTGCAGTTTGAATTTTGCCATCACTTTTTATTCTCTCAAGGTTACCAAATACAGAAGGCAGTGGGAAGTTGTTAATCCTTTTGTTTTCATCTCCTGCCGCCTTGAAATTCTGTATTCCTGTGCTTCCCTGAAATCATTTTTATTTGATTCTTTCCCCTTTTTTCTTTCCTATGAATCTCTGCTGCATACTCTTAAATACAGTTTTCCCAATAAGTTAATCCTTAGGTTACTTTCTGGGCAGCACCCTGCCCCCTCCTCCTTCCTGGTTAACCCTATACATTCAGTGGTTTTGACTGCTGCCCTGATGATCTGTATAATTTCTCTTAAATATCAGATTTTTGTTCCAGCTCTGTCTTACACTTTGGATTTTATAGCCATCTAGAGAAGAGTCTAGAGAGTTTAAAGAAGTTCTAATTTTTTATTAAGTATTGATTCCTGGGTCCTAAACTGTATTCTCACTTAAACACTCTACAGCAGAATATTTCTGTGGATATTTAATAGATTAGAAAGTTTCCTATTACAAAAAGCAAGCTACAATACCAGTACAGTGCTGAGCATTTTTGCATGTTAGACTAGGGAGAGCTTTTTCATAATGGAAAGAGGAAACCAAAAGATGGAAAAAGCAGGGAAGGGGAGGGAATGAAAAAAGAATTGATGTGTTATGTGTACCAATTTCACATAATAAATGTAATCACTATGTACTGCAAATATATACTAATGAAAATTTAAAAAAATAAACCCCAAGCCAGGCATGGTAGTGTGTACCTGTAATTCCAGCACTTGGGAGGCTGAGGTAGGAAAATCACAAGTTTGAGTTCAGCCTTATCTGCATATGCACGACTGTTAAGAAACAGCAAAACAGTAAAGCTCTGAAATTTGAATTGTGAGTCTTTTGCTTTTTCCTTTTTATCAGTACCGGGGATCGAACTCACGATTGCCTGCTTGCAAGGCAGGCGCTTATGCCGCTGAGCTAAATCCCCAGCCCCAAATTGTGAGTCTTTTTTAAGCTACTTTTTGGAGACTTAGCAATTCAACTGTAGAACTGTCAATTACCCAGGAAGGCTTGTATTTTTCATTTATGAATTTACTCAAAGTAGCAAAATGTGAACAAAGATGATTCTACAAATCATGGCTCAGCAATCAATCTTTTCCTTAAAAAAACAAAACAAAAAAACAACTTAAATCAGTGGTTACTTTTTGCCACAAACGTGGGGTTTTACAATTAAAGATTGAGCTAATCATTAAACTAACTTTATTACTATTAGCAGGTTAAGAAGCTTAATGTATACTATTGAGATTTAACCTCCAATACTACTTTCACTTTTTTTCTCTTGAAAAGATCAAAGCCATCGGCCAGACAGAATTGAATGCAAGCAACCCAGAAGAAGTGTTACAGCTGGCAGCACAGAGAAGGAAAAAAAAGTTTCTTCAAGCAATGGCAAAACTTTACTTTTAAGCAGTTAAAAATGTTTGGCCTTTATTTTTAAACAATGGGCTAAAAATATTAAAAGATTGTTTATATAGTACATATATACACATTTAGTGTTTTCTTTTCAGACAAAATACTGAAACATTAGTTTAAAAACAAAAACTGTATCGAAAACTTCATCCCGTAGCAACAGCTTTAATTTACAGTTTCTTCAAAGGTAGAAGAGGTTCACATGTCTGCTAACTAGCAGTCTTGTGTAACTCTACTTAAATCTACTTTTTGAGACGGATTTAAAATATTTATGTAGAAGTAGCTGGCTTATATACAGCAAATTTAATAAATAGATTTCTAGGAGTCAGTACATTTAATATTTTTCTGCCTTAAGAAAATAGAAATTTAGGTCAAATGTTAAACTTTCACTTTTGACAGTTTTCTTCTCATCGTGTAGGAATTTAAAGTGGACGTTCAACAGTTTTGGAAACATAAAGCCTTAGTCATGCTAAATTTATCCACAGGGATATCTTAAGAGTCATAAAGTGACTTTCTCATATAAATAGTCTGAAAATGTACATAAGTTTCCATCCAAATTGTGATATACAGGAAAGGTTATTATAAAGCAACCTATGTCTAACAAAGCCCCAAGAAGGAGCCACAGCATTTATCTCGTTATAATTTCTTTGGTACTCCCACTGTTTAGAGCAGTTAATGTTCAGTGACAACTTACTGATTAAAAAACATGGCAAGGCAAATAAAATAGCTAAACAAATTTAATTTCACCATTTGTAAAAATTCAAGTTTTATAATAGCTTCCTACAACAGCTTTAGATAAATTAGTCACCTTATTACAAAACTATCTTTGTAAACAAATTTAAATTCTATTTTCAAAAACCAAATTGCACTAGTCAAAAGTAAAGGAACTTTAAGAATCTAAAAGCTAGATTCAAAGTACTGCATCACTTAAAAGTAGCACTTACCTAGTCCAAAATGGCAATGATAAAATTCCTAGTTTATCAAGACAAATACAGTAACACTGCATCCAAAAAAAATTGCCATGGCATAAATCATGGTTGGCTTCTGTCCAGTAACCCTGGAAACAAAGTCATCTTTGTAAACATGTCCTGCTGTTTTTTTAACAGCTAATAAAGGAAGTAAGTACATTTGTTCTTTAGTGCCAATTTTAAGTGTTTTTTAAATCAAGAATGGCAGTGTAATGTCTGAATTGGCAATGATAATCAAAGGCGTTTTCTTGCAAAACTTTAGTAGATTCAAGCTAGTATTGCTCAGTTGAAACTTGTCTGCTTCCCTGACATCTTTAGTGTTTTCCTGGTGGTTTTTCTGTACTCTTCGGTGGTGTCATAATTCCTCCACTGCAAACTGGTGACAACTGTCCCCCTTTTCTGAAGGTGTTTACATAGCTGACTTCATCCTGTACATGTGAAATCATGCAGCAATTAAGATATATGAACGCTTATCTTGAGATAATTCAAGACACAATTTCCTAACAAGTATCTTTTCTGTATCATTCCAATTTTTTAGTATATGTGCTGCCAAAGCAAGCACAATCATTTTTATATTTTAATTTAATTTCAAAGTCTTTTTCTCTCCATTTAAAAAACTGCCCATTATTTTCCCCTTATATAAGCCATACCTTGAAGGAAGTGGTATTTCATAGTATATCCTTTCAGTTCTAGGACTTCTCTAGAGTAAGATGAAACCCCACAAAAAACATACCAGCATGGCCAAATAATTTGTATGTGTCTGGATATTGTGTCTGTCTTCCATAGGTATCTTCTTGAAAGTCTTCAGCTTCACTGGACTAGCACTTTTGACTACACTGACAAAAGGGACCATCCAGTCTACACATTCTGAAATACTGTCCCACTCCAAACCTAGATTGAACAAGTGAGAAAATGTGAAGACCGTACATCAGAAACTCATACCTGTCCGGTCACCTAATACATGTACTTCCTTCTGCTTCTAAATGTTAAGATACTTAAAGACTCATTTTTAAAAAACCAAAACAATCAAAATCATCACAAATTACCATTCTGAAATTGTTACATATATCATGACTACATTAATGAGTAAAAGGACTTCTTAGCCAGTATGTTCCACATATGAACTGAAATTAGCAAATTCTAAAGAACTCTTAAAGCAGACCTGTAATCTATTGGTTCACTTTAAAGTTCTACTGGACCTTATTTTCTAACAAAAAGCAAGAGAATGACGAGGCTGCTAAACTTCCTCCTGTTTGGCAGTGTGTTAAAATTCATAGGTTATAGTCCCATTAGAAGTTGTGGAAAGGAAAACAACCAATTGTGAGCTCTCACCTGAGGCTTTCTTAACCACTTCAATAGAGGTAAAATGGCACAAGGCGGCAGCAGCCAGTATTCTGTACTGAAACTCTAATGAGTCAATGGCTAGAATACACAGATCCAGAAGCTAACAAAGGAAAGGCAGAAATGCAGAAGGGTTAGCATTTTTTTGTCCCTACTAAAGTCAGCCAGCATTTTAAGGGGTCTTATGTACACCAGAATTGCTAAAACTCAGGAGTAAAAGATAAGCTATCAACGGATGTCAAGTCTTGAGACTGGGTCAGAGTGACTAAAGAATTACTGTGATAGTGGAGTGATGAGCAGGAAGGGCATCACATTTAGACTGGAAAAGACAAGGCTGCTTTGGGTTCCTTAAATGAATCAAGGCTAACTAAGAGGTCTTGGAAGGTAAGCAGTATTTCTAAACAAAAGCCAAATATTTGCAATGCAAGCAGTTCAGAGCACTTGAGTAAAAGTTGTAAGTTCCTTTTAGACTTTTTGAGACAAGGTCTTGGTATGTAGTTCAGAATGGCCTTGAATTCAAAGCAAATCTCCTGCCTCAGCCTCCTGTGTGCTGGGATTACAGGTGTGCACCACTATATCCAGCCCTGTTCAATTCTTAACCAAAAAAAAAAGCTACAAAGGTCTAGAGTAGGTCCCAAAGGACTTTTAGGAAGTGAGAACATTATTCTATAGGCTGATTTTTTTTTTTTTTTTTTTTTTTTTTTTTTGAGAGGCTCTCACTATATGTTCAGGCTGGCCCCAAACTCACAGCAGTCCTGACTCAGCCTTCTGAGGGCTGGGATTACAAGGCATGCACCACCACGCCTGGTTGTAGACTGATTATTAAAACTACTCAAGATTTTAAGTCAAGAAAGTTAGCATTTTAAGAACAATAACCTTAGACTGCAGTGAGGCTTGTAGGCTAGAATGGAACATGTTTCTAAGCAACAAGAAGAGCTAAATGATGTAATCTAGACAGCAGGAGAAAACACAGCACTGGGTGGTGCAAAAGGGCTAGAATTGAGGGTTTTGAGCTGAGGTCTGTTCAGTGAAACGAAACACTTGCACTCATTGCTCCAGGAGGTAATTAGCAGGAAAAGAGAAGTAAATAATGTTACCACAGGTTGGGTTTTGCATATCAGAAATGCTTGGGGCTAGAAGTGTTTGGGATTTCAGATTTTGAAGGATCTGCATATGCATGATATTTCTTCGGGACAGGACACAAGTCTAAACATGAAATTCATTTATGTTTGGAGTGTTTACATATGAGATTTCTTGGGGAAGAGGATGGAAGTATAAACATAGCCTGACATTTGTATAATATCTTCAGGGTGCCTTTTGACTGCCCTGTCAAGTATAGAATCTTCTACTTGCAGTGTCATGTTGACATTCAAAAATTTTCCAATTTTGGAGCATTTCAGTTTTGTTTGGGGATGTTCACATTGTACACTTCTAGAAACATTCCACATTATCAGTTTCTTCCACCACTGCCACCAAAAGGGTATAACTGCTTATGAAAATCGGAGATACTAGGAATTGACTGAAAAAAATTAATAAGCCTCTTAGAAGCTTTTTTAAAATGAGGTAATCCCACCATTTATTGGTTGTCCAATTTTAGCATTCATAAGAATGCTTAACATTTAAGGCGCAAATTTTAACCTTCATTTCAAAATATCACAATCTTCCTATTCCATAGGCAATGTTTTCATATCCTATATAAAAGCTTCTTTTTTGTGCACCGTAGGTGCTGCAGCCTTAGGACTTACAAGCCCTGGCACTGTGGCACACTCGGAGGTTGAGGCAGGGGGATCACAAGTTCGGCCAGTTGGCTACTCAAACAATTCACCTGAAGCTGGGCAACTTAGACCCAGTTTCAAAATTTAAATAAATAGAGCTGGGGATGTATCTTACTGCTCCCTGGGTTGAATCCCCAGTATCAAAAGAAAAAAAAATTACAAGCAGTAGGCAACAGAATGGGATCCTCCTCCTCTACTTTGTTAGAACATTTGTTATATACTGGCCTAGGAAAATTAAATTTGACTTAAGTTTTTTAAAAATCCTATTATATAAAGGTGATTTAAATTCTACTGACATGTAACAAATAGGCACCCTTTGTATTCAAGTATAAAAAAAAATAGGAATGATAGAATTATACCATTTTAAAGCCTAAAGACTTGCATAAAAAGATTTTTCCATTTTATAGTAAAAATATTTCATTTGGACTCTTAAGAATAAGAGTACTCATAGAAGTTTAAGGGCTCTGTTTTCTAAAATGACTAGGGAGTGTAAATATTGGGGACAGTATTTTATGTGTCAGAAGGTTTTTGCCATTATTTTGTTAAGTAGCCTACTTAAGACTGCATACACCAACAGACTTGAGACTGACCATGACATTAATGTATCTTCTATAACCATCAATACCTGGGCAATGAGGATGAAGGTTTCCTGAGAATACTGAGGTAGAAGAACTTTGGGAGCATCCTTAAGAGCATCGACTTGGAGAAAGAGATGTAACCAGGAGATGACTGTGACAGGACAAAGTTCCCACTTCAAAGCCTGTTAATGAAATTTTAAAATACCTCTTAACTCGCTTGTTTATTGCAGAACAATTTATAATTGCTAAGCCCTAGGAACAACCCAGATGCCATGAACAGAAGAATGGTAAACAAGATGTCATACTTATGTAGGATGGACCACTACTCTACCATAAAGAAGGATAAACGAGGCATTTTTAAGTAAATGGATGCACCTTAAGACCATAATCATAAATGAAATACATCAGGCACACAAGCCTAAATACCACATGGTTCCCCCATTTTGCAAGAAACCTGAAGTAGGAGGAGCAAAATGGGGGATAGATATTGGGAAGCAGGAAAAACTTGTTCAAAAGGGGAGGGGAACATAAGAGAAAGGAGAGGAAAGAAGAAAGGGAGAAGGGAAACGAAATTTAAAGAAAAAAATGGAAATAGGAACTTTTATAGGGGAAGGTTTGCAGGGAGGGGAGTGGGTCAAAATGTACATGTACAAATCACCCATGATGAATTTAATCATGTACTGTAAACCTATACTAATAAAATTAAGAATGCCTATTAATCAATGTACACATATAACATATTACATGGAAAATTTACAGATTAAGTGAATTTCCCTACCAGCCACAGCTACTGTCAGTATTTTGATGCATTAACCTCTTAGAACTGGATGCTTAGAACTGAATCCAGTTCTAAGACCTAAAACCTAAGTTTTGATCATTGACATTTTAGTATGGGTGGTTACTTCATAACTACCGTGCTACTAATTTACAAGTAAAAATGAAGACATAATATTACCTTTAATATAATGAGTTCCATCCTTACAATGTCTTCCTCACTGCAAGCACCATCAGTGACATAAGCAAACTCTTGGAGTTTGGGAGCATATATTTCCTTTAAATTGAAATTTTTATCAACCACAATTGAGACTGAGATTAAAACAATCATGCAAACTATACACAAGCTTCAGTTTTAGTAACAACTTCACAAATTATAAAATAATTATACTATATAGCTAAAACAACCTTATGTTTAAGATACTTTTGCTACGTAGAGGCTTTTTAATTATCAACTATATTGATTATGAAGACTTATTTTCCTAGGACTAACTGAATTTTAGTTGATAAGCAATTAGAATATCTAAACTAGTTGAGTTAAAAAACAAAAAGCTTGCTGACTATGGTGGTGCATCCTGAAATCCCTGTACATGGGAGCCTGAGGCAGGATTACAAGTTTGAGGCCAGCCTGCGTGGGCTACACAGTGAGTACAAGGCCAGTGTGAACTACACAGGAAGACCCTGTCAAAAAAAAAAAAAAAAAAAAATGTCGTTTTAAGATTGCCTAGTATGCTGGTCATCCCAAAACACTCAACAAACAAGGTCGAGAAACTAAAAATATTTCCTTTACCTTAGTACATAACTATGGTTAATTAAGAATACTGGGCAGCTCAGTAGTAGAAAGCTTGCCTGGCCCTACGTTCAATCCCCAGCACTATAAACAAAAGTAAAAAAACAATCAAAAGCTATTTTGTGCAGTTCCCACTTGTAATCTCAGCACTCTGGAGGCTGAAGTACAATGGCACACTGGACCTAGCCTGGGCAGCAAAGTAACTCAGCATGACTGTCTCAAAGATTTTTTAAAGGCTGGGGATATAGTTCAGGGAAACCCTGGATTCAACCCTCAATACTGAGGAAAACAAAACATAAAACTATATATGCAGTTTGGCAATAGGTCTGTTCTGGCAATCCAGAGAAAATCTGGAATGATCAAAAGATTAAGAGAGGCTGCTTGTGTAAAGAATAAGCTAAATATCAGAATTGCAGTCTGGAAAGGGATCCAAAACAGTATGTTTCAGGTAAGGACAGGCGGACTGCAAGCTGATATGCCAAACTTGGCAACAGCTCTTAAAGCTCAAAGGACACATTAAGAAGGAAATTAACATATGATCATAATTCCTCTCCTACCCTCAAAATAATGCCAGCTATAAAAAAGCATTGATGATGTTCACACTGTATTGCTTATGGAAAATAGATTGTGATTATGGGAAGGAAAATCTCAGAAAAGGAGTTGCTTTCTAGCAAGATATCACCGTTACACACAAAAATATTAGACTGATTAGACGATTATTCAGCTCAACATAGCATTTCTTTCATTTGATTGGTTGTGCAGTTGCAAAGGCCACTCTAGTGAGTCCAAATGCCACAGTTACATACATAAAGACAGCGTTGGTGTATTTTGTTTGGCAGAGTAACTCATGGATTCTTTCACTTACAAACTAATCCTAGAATCTAAACCAGAGATACATAATAGGCTCAGAAACTAGAAAGAACTACAATTTTTCTTGAGAATGTTTAGAAAATGTACTGAGAACCATTCACCTAAGGAATTTCTATCAAAATTGACAGTACTCTTTGAGATTAATCTGTCAGTCAAAGAAAAAAAAGTTTGGTGATAACAGGGATGAGCTCAGATAACTTACCTCAAGTTTGGAAGCAATGAATAATGAGGTAATTCCAATAAGCTGAAGCATGTTTTTATTTATATTCCTTTGCGTCAACATAAATCTATCAAAAAAGTCTTGTGCAAGATAAAATGTTTCCCTATGAAGTGTGTATACTTCACATACCTACAGAAGAATCCAAACATTTAAATATTACCCTTAGAATTTCTCTAAATTACAAAGCCATCTCTTACCATACCAGACTTTAGAATACTTTTAAACCAAACCTAAAACTTTAACACTTTTAAACCATACCAAACCTGAAATATCAGAAAAAATATGTACTAATAGAATAAACAAATCTGTTACTATCCTCATTTAGTCTTTGGGGGGTGGGGTAACTGGGGATTGAACTCACAACCTTGCACTTGCCAGGCAGGCACTTACACCACTGAGCTAAACCCCTGGCCATCCTCATTTATTCTTAATCTTAGTTGTATAGGTTTTTTCCCCCTAGCCGTATAGTTTATCCATGGTTTTGTTTTATGGTCCAAGAGACTGAGCACAGTGGTTCCTACATGTTGTGTTACAGTGCTCGAGTGAGCTAAGTCTCCAGTCCCTTCACCCACTTTTTTGATTTTTCTTTTCTTCTTTTGAGACAGTGTCTTGTTACATAGTTCAGGCTGGCCTTGAATTCACTACATAGTCCAGGCTGGCCTCGAACCCATGATGATCCTCCTGCCTCAGCCTCCCAGGTGCTATGATACAGGTGTGTGGCCCCAGCCTGAGACAGTGTTACTAAACTGCACAGGCTGGCTTTGAACTTGTGATCCTCTCCCATCAGTCTCCTGAGTAGCTGGGTTTATTAACACACATCACAGTGCCTGGCCCTGAATTGCTTTTTAATGGAATTTAAATGATTTAAATTAAGATGGAGCATTTTAACATACACACATGTTTTTCCCTCAGTTATTTCTCGTATTTTTGTGTACCGGCTAAGAACACAGAAGAATAATGAATAACACTGGTGATAAAAGTCTATTTATCTTTTGTATATTTTGACTTTAGTGGGAATTGTCCTAATAGTGCACTAATGTTATTATAATAAATAGTATCTATCATTTTCATACTTAAAGAGAAAACTTTTAATTCTCAACTCCATAAAAGTAGGTCCCATTTTCTCTATCTTAGAGATGAGTTAACAAAGGGATGCAATACATAAGTTTCCCATAAACGCTGTGTCAAAAAGTCTCATTTTAGCTTAAGTATTTTTAGACAGAGAAATTGATACTGGACTTAAAAAAAACAAAACATCTTATGCACATATTGGGATCATGGGATTTTTCTCATTTGGCCGAGTAAGGTGATAAATTAATAATTTTTCAAATGTTGAACCATCCTTACACTCCTATACTAAAATAATATATTAAGACAAAATAGAATTTAACAGTGTTGTGTTTATTTTATATGACTTTCCATACATAACAACACTTAGGGGAAAACAGGAAAAACTGAATAAAAGATAAAAAGGAAAAAAATTGCATGAACATAATTCTGCTTAAATTTATCCGTTGGTCACTACTCAGAAAAAGTCAAATCTTGGCTGGAGCGTAGTTCAGCAGTACAGCATGTACTGTGTTCAATTCCCAGTGCCAAAAATGAAAAAGTCAAAACCCAACTATTTTCTTTTTATTCAAACTATTCCAATACAATCTTTCCATCTAGTCAGAATAAGGAAGATGACCTAATGCAAAGGAATATTTGGTAGTCCTAGAATCTTTCCTGATAGCTTCTCTGATCGCTTCTGCTATTGTTACTATATTAAAAAGTGTAGTCTTTAGGTAGACAACAGAGTGAATATGTAAGTGTTAGAGGAAAGTCAGTTTGTTGTCAACATGAGTAATTATTTCCTCAGAAATAATTATCAAAAGAAAGAGAATGCACCTAAACAATACAGAAAATGATGACACATATCTGTAAGATTTCAGGATTATCATTATTTATTTAAACTGATGGTATAGCATTTTGGATGGGGGCAGTTTAGTTGTTTAAGCAAAGAGCCTCACTATGCAGTTCAGGCTAGCCTTGGGTTTTTTTTTTGGTACCAAGGATCAAACTCATGACCTATGCCATCAGGCTGGCCTCGGACTCACTACTCAAACTCCTGGTAATCCTCCTGCCTCAGCCTTCCAAATGCTGGGATTACAGGCATGTGCCGTCATGCTTGGTTTATAGCATTATTTTTGAAAGGAACAGAAGTACATTATAAAGGGAAGCTACCTAAAACCTGGAGAAGTTAGGGCTTCTGGGTAACCAAAGCCCTACTATGGTTTAGGGCACAGAAAGAAAGTCTCAGTAACATAATTTTGGTAACGCAGAAAAAAAGACTTCTAAAATCTTGAAGCCTAGTCTTGGTTCTTTGCATAACAGAATTTAAAACCTGATCAAGCCAGGAATTTAGCTCAGCATTGTAAGTGCCAGTCTGGCAAGTGCATGGTTGTGAGTTTGATCCCCAGTACCAAAAAAAAAACAAAACAAAACAGAACCTGATCAAGGGAGAAGAAGCCACGCCCCAGACCCCACCACCATCAGGGAAGAATTAGTGAGCAGCTGGCCCGCACCTCTCCAGCGCTCTGGGAAACTTGAATCAAGGAACACAAGTGCCTGGCCTAATCCCCAGCACCAAGGGAGGGGCAGCCAGTGCAGGAGGCACCCGGGACTCAGCAACTGGCCGATGTGGAGGAACACAGGAAAACGTCAAGGCGAACAAGCAAGATGAAATCTCAGACCTTCAGTCCACCCACAAGTGCAGGGAAACACAGACACAGAAGAAATTAGAAGTTACGTGCCAGAAGTTTCCGAAATGATAGTAACTGAAGGAAACAACTTAGTGCCCATATTGTTTGATTAATTTTGCACATCTATATCTTACCCAGAACAAGTTCAGGAGACACAGACATAAAAGAGAGTATTTGAAGCCACACACCTTAAATTTGTAGAAGGATAGCAACTGAAGTAAAGAAACAACTTAGTGCTTACATTGTTTAACTTTGCCTATGTCTGGTAATCTGAGCAATATTTAAGTATAACAATGTGCAACATAGTAACTATTGTTGGTTTCCTACTGTTTTGTTTTAAAATCCAATATCATTCTCATTGTTTTGTTTTATTGTATTTAAAATTTAAAAAAAAACTCCGGTTAATTATACATTCTGCTCATCTTGGGTACCCTCCCCACCCAGAACAGTGCCCTTGAGTACACAGCAATATCCACACATACCAAGAATTCTGAATTGGCTTTGGGTTGTATGCAGTGGTTGTGTCTTTATGATTTTACTGATTTGTTTTGGTGCTGTTGATTGAACCTGGAACTCACATCTGCTACTTGTACAGTTCAACCATATACTCTGCCACTGAGTTATATCCCCAACCCCTGATTTTACAGTAGACAGTTGCATTCCATGTTGAATACCACCAACTACTGTTAAGTACCCCAACAAAGACAGCTTGCTGGTAATTTACTCTGAAGGCACAGAACACATGTTTACCTCTAAATATTTCTCCATCATACAGAGATAAAGGAAATTTACACTGCTGGAACATACCTCTAAAAGCCAGTCTAGAAGGATTGATCTCATCTGTGGTTCTAGGTCACAGTGCAGACCTTCGAAATTCTTGTCATGAACATATGTGCTTTCCTTTTTTAGCATGTTTAGCCAAACCTCCTGGGAACATCCCCAGCTATGGAAAGGGGTAAAAATAAGCACAACTTACATTGTATGATCTACACAACATACAAGCTGTCAAGTTAACATGGCATAAATCCAATTCTGAGACATTAAAATCCAGCTTTCAGGCAGAATTTGAAAATATAGCTTTTAATTTAGAAAAAGACTTTTATTTTAAGTTTTAGAAATCACATCTTCTGTACAAGAAAGTAGAAGCCTGAAGTAACACTTCAATCTGGAATGTGATCACCTGAACTGTCCGATTTCAAAAAAGTGCTCTCCTCCCACTTATTTAGGCTAATTTAGGTGAATTATTTACACTCTTCACTTAAAAGTAACTCAGGGCCAGGCATAGTGGCACATGCCTCTGACCCCAGCACTCAGAAATCTGAGGGAGGAAGACTGCTGCAAATCAAAGGTTAGCTTGGACTACTTGAGGCTGTCTTTAAAAACAAACAAATAACTGGTTCTGCTAAATCTAATGATGAAAATAACTTTACAGAACCAATGCTTTGATCACTCTTATCATGTGCAATAGGATTATTAGATAAAAGGTTAATAATTTAATAAATCAATAATATTTTGTAAGTGCTTCTATTTTATAATGAAAGCAAAAGATAATACAAGGCACTATTTTCAGTTAAGTCAGTAAAATTTTAACTTTTGATATAAAAGTACTGAAATTTTTCTTACCTTAAATCTGGCAAAGGTGAAGGATTAATAAAAAGATTTTTAAATCTGTAGCTTGTAAATCTAGAAAAGTCACTTGTTCCTATCTCTTTGTGGGGTGTTTCAATGAGAATGCAAGGACTGATTCCTCCAGATAATACAGGTGGCCAACAGTTCTGTCATTTAAAAACACAAGGAATATCTATTTGTACAACAAGAAACCTTAGCTTTTGTCCTAGATCTTTCATAAATTAAAACTAATACTTCTAAATAATCTGTTGTTTTAACTAAAACTAGTTAAAAATCTGGTTAATATGACATTTACATTTTATAAATAAGTCATATAGCTCATATCAATCTTCATAAAACAGGAGGTTTCACACAATACAATTCTAGTAATACAAGACCCTAGGGACTGAAGAGGAGTAATAAAATACATCTGTAATATGGAATATCAATCACTTTCAAGGTACAAGAAATTCTAGAAGTGGGAGCAAAGGTACCTTTTTAACAAAAAGCTTTATAAGGCAAGACCTCCAACACTTTAGAATACTGGAAGGCAAAACCTTAAAAATGGAATCTAGTGGAATCACTCAAGAAGTCCTTCTTCCAAAAATGCTGATTTCAAAGGGAACTACTGTGCTTTCTGCACAACACATAGGAAGAAGATGTAGCAAAGGGCTGGATGCCAAGCTACCAGTGATCTCACATCCTATTTATGTTAAAGAACCAGCTATTAGGACCGTCTACTACAGTCTGAGAAGGAACAAAGAGCAGAATATCAGACAGATTAGGCGGGCCTGGTGCACCAGGCAGCTCCAAGAGGGAGGGATTTACAAAAAGGAACCAGCTGCTTCAAGGCAAACTTACTCTGCAGCTGTAGTAGGATTCAGGCATACATAAGCCTCCTTCCTGCTGACCTCTATGCGCATTAAAAGTGACAGAGAAATCTATCTATTGCAAAGCAGTAACACATCATTCTTATTCACCCTCTGCTGCATTAGTTTCCCCCCAAAACCACCCAGCTCAGTTCTGCATTACCCTTATCTCATACTGATGTTTCCTGGTGACCTTCTCTTCTCTTCTTTTTTTGACATCCTGGAAAACAGAAAAGACCATTGGTAAACTAAGTTCCAGCAAGGTCTCTCTCCCTTCCCTTTCTTTGTCCTGAAATCACCTGTGCTGCTTTTCTCTTCTTGGCCTGGATGATCTGGGCTTCTTGGGGGGAGTCTGGCTGACTGGGCTGTGCATGCTGCTTAGCTTGTAAACGGGTGCTGTACAGAATTTTTAAAAAGGAAGTTTAACTAGTAAGTCATTTTTTCAAAAGCAACATCTAATTTTGAAATATGTCTCCAAGACAAATAATGTTACCTTCGTCTTGACATTCTCTTCTTTCAGGTGTATGAAACCTCTGAGTGGGGGAGAGGAAAAACCAGAGTTAAGTACTGCACTTTGGTATCCGTGTTCTCCAAGTGTCAATCAAAGCTGCCTACAGGTTACACTAAATCCCCCAAAGGTGGCCAGGGGTATTTTACCACGTTGTCTTTTGCACTCCTTTAGTTATCGCAAGGTAATTAATTCAGGACACACGCCTGCATTTCCTCGACTGAATGCACAGCCTGGACTCCGAGCGCTTTCAAATGTGCACCCTGAACGCGCAGGGCCGCTAGTCTCCCCCGACTGGCTTTTCCCAGGCCCCCCATCGTCTCCCTCACACCTGCAGTGGGACTGAGGCAGCGCCCCTGCTGCCCTGCGCTCTCCTGCACGGCCGGAGGGCAGAGGGGCCCGCGCGGGTGAAGCGCGGCGGAGAAGCCCGTTCCGCGCCAATTTGGAGAGCGGCAGTGGCGGGGAAACAGGGGGCGGAGGAACCGCGGCGGGTGTCACGTCCTCCAAGCTCCTTCCCCTCCTTTGCAGGCCCGCCGGGCGCTGCCCGCCACTTGTGGGGGTACCCGGATCCCAACCCCAGGTGAGGGCGGAGAAAAAGGGGGGACCTGGCAGGTCTGGAACTTTGCTCTCCAAGAGGACCTAGATCCCCCTCCTCGCTTCCCCGAACAGCTCCCCACACGGGAGTGGGCTAGATGAGCCCCCACAGCTGGGGGCTTTTCCGTGGCCGCCCACGAGGGGGCTGCCCGCCACCCCCACCGCTCTCCTGTCCCCTACCAGGGGTCCCGACAGGGACGGAACTCGGGGACCCATTCCCTGCAGAAGCCTAGCTCTCCGCCCTCCCAACTTCTCTCCCTCAAGGATCCCGCCCGCGGGAAGGACCGCCTCAGCTGGGCTTTCTTTCCCTCCATAATCCACTAAGCACAGCACCTCCTCACCGCGACACCCGCTACCGCCTGGCTCAGCTGGCGCCGGCGCCAACCCAATATATAGGCCGGGCCGGGCCCGCCCGCACGCATGCGCCTCGGCTGACACCTCCGCCGGCGCGCTCCGGCTCCCGCCCGCGCCCCGCCCTCCCCGCAGTGCGCGCCGCGCCGCCAGGGTCCCTTCGGTGTGTCCGGCGGGAGCGGGAGCGGGAGGTTTGAGGCGCTCCTCCTGCCACCTCACTCCCGTGGCCTCACTGTAAGGTCCAGTGGCGGGGATGTCAGGCTGCGGCGCAGCCCTAGCGTCCGGCCCAGGGAGGCTACTGGAGCGCGGGTAGAGCTGGCGTGGAAGCCACGGCCAGAGGTGCGCCCCGGGTCCCGCCAAGGCCGGGGACGGGAAGCGGTCTTTGCAGAGCGGCGCGGGGAGTCGGGGTCCCGCCCCTGCGGGAGGAGCTAGGCTGGGCCGCCGGGCCGGCCAATAGGACGGCGGGGACGCCGCGCAACGTGGAGCCGGAGCGATGTAAACAGCCGGGCGGCGGCGAGCCACGTGCGTCCGCGAGCGCTCGCCGGCTGAGGTAGGTGCCCATCCCACACCGGCTCCCCGCGCTGGGCTGTAGTGGCCGGTCGCCCCTCAGCCCGCCGCCCTGTTCCCGGCCAGTAGGTCGCATGCCGCAAGCCCCGCGCGGAAAATGCTTGCGCCTTTTGCGTGCTCCCCTTCCCTCTTCCAGGCCAGGTGCCCGGCCCCTTGGTGAAGCCCTCTCGAAGCGAGACCTCGGCATCTTCCATCTGGAGCCCTCCGAAGGCCCGCGGGGTGGGAGGACGGTGGCAGCCCAGTGCAGGCCGGCGCCCCGCCCCGCCGCCTGCGCGCCCTGCGGAGCCCGCGCTGGAGGCAGCCGCCCGCCCTGGGGCGAAGGGAGCGAGACGGCCGCCGGCGGGTCCCGCGCGTTCCCTTCTCCTCGTGGCATGTTACTCCCTGCGCCCCTGCGCGTCCTCGCAAGTTTGGGAGTCGGACACGCGGGTGGTATGGCGCGCGCAGAGTGTGGCGCGGAAGGGGGTAGCTCTTGAAACAAAGATCCCAGGCAGAGCGGCCTTGAGTGTGCAGCCGCCGGGGCCGCGGGCGACCTCGCGCCGCCGGCCGGAGAGCGCCTTGCCCTTCCCGAGATGCCCTGGGACGGCCGCGCGGGCTTTGTGCGGCGCCGCCCTGTGGGCCCGGAGCTGGGACGCGCCGGTGCTCTCCGCGCCAGCAGGGTCGGTTCACTTTGCTCTTTCCATCCTTCTAACGACCTCGTGACGCAGGCACCAGAATCGTTGCTTTTCCAAATTTATGCCCTGAGAGAGTTGCCCAGGTTGACAGGATCGGGAGAGAACTATATTGGCTCACTCCCATGAAACTTTATACAGTTTATGATACTCGTGATGGCTCTTGTTAAGGCGGGAGTCTCCTCCCTTTGCGTCACTCAGATCGCTCTTGCCATCAGGCCAGAAAAGGGTGGGGCAGGTGGTGCCTCCCAACAAGGCTGTGTTAGCTGAGCAGAAGCAAAACTGGTGGCTAGCATGAGTAAGCTAGGTCATCAAAATACAGTGAAAGCCAAGAATGACAGTAATATTTGTAGGGTTAGTCTTTGAGTTATCATACACACCCACCACTGGCATAAAGTAAATTGCATGTGAACGAGGCAGTTATTGGAAATTACATTGGCTACACCTTTATGTATTATATGAACAGAGTGCAGTTGTAGTAAAGGAGAAACAAGAGCAGCCTTAAGAGACCTTAGTGTGGAAATCAACAGGGTGAATGCTGCTGTATTACAAGTGCCTGGTTGGTGGACAAGTGAGTCTGTACAGTGTGGGCTTTCTGCTCAGACACACCAGGTTCCCATCCTGTGTTTAGCAAACTGGAATTCCTTTGAGCATGGGTTTTCTTTGGAAATAAATAAGGAGCCATGCATCACAAGGTGTGTGTGTGTGTGTGTGTGTGTGTGTGTGTGTGTTTGAGTTTCTTCAGTCCTGGGAAGACGTGAACACGGCTACATCCCCAGCCCAAATTTTTGTTTGTTTGTTTGTTTGTTTTTTGGTCTTTTTGTGACAGAATCTTGCTATCCAGTTCAGGCTGGCGTTGAGCTCACTTTGTAGCCAAGGTTGGTCTGGAACTTGCAATGATCTCCTGCCTCAACCTCCTGAGTGCTGGGATCACAGGTGTGCACAACTATTTCCAACAGCTTTTTGTCTTTTTGAGACAGGGTTTCACTATGCAATTCAGGCTAGCCTTGAACTCACTTTGTAGCCCAGGCTAGCCTCAATTCACAGCAATTCTCCTGCCTTAGCCTTCTGAGTGATGGTATTACAAGTGAGCACCACCACTCTTGCTCCAGCCATTTATGTTTGAGACAGGGTCTGGACAACTCAATTTGTGATCCTCCTGCCTCAGCGTCTCAAAGGAGAAGATCCTCGGATGCATAGTGGTGTAGTTTTTGTTGGTATTTTGTTTTTTGAATTAAACCAGGTGTGGTGATGTGTACCTGTAGGCCTGGTTACTTATGAGTCTGAGGCAGGAAAATCACTGGAGTCCAGGAGTTCTAAGGCCAGCCTGGGCAACATAGCAAGACTCTATCTCTTCACAACTAACATACAAAGAACAGGTACAGCATACCCATTTCTTGCTTTTGTTTGCTGTACTTTCTCTGTGTAGGCCTCCCAAATCCTTTTCTTTGTGCTCTCCAGTTAAGATATTCATTATCAATTTAAATGTTTTTTCTCTTGTACTAGGTCTCACACCTTGTTCATCTTTCTATAGCCAGGACCCCATAGTTCAGAGGCTTACATGCATGGTAGGACCTTGATAAATGCTTGTTTGAATCATGTATAGGGTACCAAGGTTCAGAACGCGTGGTCTCTAGCTTAGCATGTAGATGGTAGGTGGATAAGTGTCATTCCGGTAAATATTGAGGATTTGGGTGGAACAGGGCTTCGATGTACTCTACTGCCTCACTTCACACATCCACTGTCCCTCACTGACGTCTAGCATCCCACAGTTACTACATATGAAACATTTGTTAATGAGGCATTATGGATGCTTTGTTCAATTCCCTAGGCTCCTCGCCACTCTGCAGTTACCCAGAGTACATCTCATTTAGACCTTGCATCTCCTTAGGTTCCTTTTCACTCTTGACAGTTTTGAGGATTGCTGCAAGTGTCTTGCAGGCTGCCTCTCATTTAGCCCAGGACTCACACTGCCCTCGGTGCGGCCACCTCCTACCGGCTTTTCCGGGTATGTGCTGCCCCTCCCACCCTGCCTTCCAGCATAGGCCAGAGCTTGTTTACCACAGCACACATTTGTCCGGACTCCAGCCCCGCTCCAAATCCTTCTGTGGTGACCTCAGCTGAAGGCCAAGCTCCTTTACACACAAGGGCCCTGGCATGCCTTCCTCTGCCCTCTGCACGCACATCCCGTATCCTGCCACCTCCCCTGTCTTCTGCAGCCTGGCCCATTTACTTCCCTATCCCTCCTAGCTGTCCTGTTCCCTGCGCTACCTGCCTCACCCCTGCAGGTGCTCCTGGGCAGGGCTGTCTCTTCCATCGCTGGCCTGCCTGGCTGGCTGTAGACTGCTTTGGAGAGTTGTGGAGGGGGAGGTGTGTGAGCTGGTGATCTCCTACCTGGTTTCCAGGGGACACTTCCTTGAGGAGCTTTGCAGCTGGTACTCTCAAGGGGTGAGGGTGCTGCTGGCCTCTGGGGACTCTGGAAGCACGAGGAGTCCGAGCAGTGTTCCCTTGGCTCTGTGGTGCGTCCTTGGTTGCCCTTCCAGGGTGTTTCAGGGTGGCCCTGAAACAAGGAAGGCCGGGTGGGACAGAAACCAGAGCACACCTTAGGGACCTGGGCGCTGCTCCTTGTGATGCTGATGGAGGGAAGAGCGGGGAACTGGGGCAGCAGCATTGGACATCCAGACACTCAGTGGTGGTGTGCCTAGGAAGGAGACCGCAGGGCCATTGCAGCAGGACAGTCGGTATGAAATGTTCCCTGTCCATAGAGCTTAATCAGTGGTTTGTGGGGCAGAATAAATGTGTAACAGGTCTCTACTGTTAAGTGCTATGGAAGGAAAGGGAACTGGAAAGGCCAGGAGTGAAGTGAGAAGGCCCCTCAGAGGAGGTGACGTTTCATTCTGTCAAACACTAGGACAAGAGTGGCAAAGTGAACAAAAATTCCTGATCCGTTGGAGCTCAATTCTGGTGTATGCATATGTGTGCAGGAAATGCAAATACATCAGGTAGTAATAGTACGGCCAATGCCAGGGTGAGGGATGCGCGGGAGGCGCTACCTTAGAGAACGAAGTGCAATCGGCTGTTGCTAAGGAAGAAGGTTCCTGGCGAGGAAACGGCAACCCCAGAAGGCCGGGCGTGGTTAATCACGAGGAGGTTTCGCTGCGGCAGGGGCATAGTAAAGGATCCCGCAGGCTGCCATGTAGGCTAGAGCCTGCGCAGGGAAAGAGCCGAAGCAGGGCTCAGGCCGAGCGGCACAGCCCAGCACAGGCGGGGGCGGCTGGTGGGAGCCAGGAGAGGCGGGCGGCAGAGGCCGAGCGGGGCTGTCCCTCACCGGGAGGGGGCGCCCTGCAGCCCAGGAAACCCAGGTGGTTTCACACAGGTCTGATACTTACAGTTGTCCTTTGTATTTCTTAAGTGTCCAGCAAAACTGAAAGGACTTATAGACGCACCACCTGAACTCTGCCATCAGCATTTTGCTATACTTACTTTATCATTCTCTTCACTGTTGTCCCATCTTACTTTTTGGTGCAATTAGGAAGAATGGAGATATCAATATACTTTTCAGTAAATATTTGAGCATGTATAATATTAACAGAGTTCAGTGTTTGTTTAGTTTTTACTTTGAGGCAAATTTTACTTTCAGTGAAAAGCACGTCATTTTTTTTTCTGTCTCTGCCTGCCTGACTCTCTCACTGTCTCTGTCTCTCAGTCTCTGTCTCTGTCTGTCTGTCTCTGTCTCTGTCTATGGCTCTCTCTCTCTCTCTCTCTCTCTCATGGTGCTGGGACTTGGGCACACATATGGGCACACATATTTCCTGCATATGTGTGCAGGAAATGCAAGTACATCAGGTGGTAATAATACGGCCAAAGCTAGGCAAGCCCTGTGCCTCTGAGCTGTGCTGCAGCCTGGAACGTGTAGAGCTGCAGTGTACACTCTTGCTAGCTGTGTAATGCAGCCTTCTCTCGCAGAACATTACCATCATCTCCAGAAAGTTACCTTTCCCGGGTAATCACTGCTGTTACCTCCCCTAGAAGCAAACACTCTTCTGGGCCTTTCCCACCAGGCTTCAGTATTACCACTACTAGGACTTTGTATAGAAAAATGGCATTTGCATCTTTATGTGAGGGTCTTTTCACTTAGCTCTGTGTATTTGAGTTTCCTCCATGTTAGACATTGTGACCTTTAATCCTCGTATGTGAATTTCATTGGGATAAGACGAAGATGAATAAAGTGTGCCCCTGAGGTAGCAGGTGGGCTGGGAGGGGTGTTTGTTGCTGTGTATGGTCCCTTGCCTGCTTTTCTCTGGCGTTGCTCCCTGGCTCTGCCTCCCAGTGGCCATGGACTAAGCAGCTTTGCTCTGGGTCATGCTTCCACTGCAGTGTTCTTGTTTTGGAGCCAACTGACTGTGGACTGCATCTCCTCAAACTGTGAGCTAAACTGATTCTCTTTGTGGGTGTCGGGTCTTGTGTCTCAGGGACAGTAAACCTGACTGATACATATATACTAGTACTTTGTTCCTTTTTTCTCTCTTTTGCAGTACTAGGGATGGAACTCAAAGCTTAATACATACTAGAAAAGCGCTCTACCACTGACATTTACATCTTCAGCCTTTTAAAAATGTTTTTTATTTTAGTTGAGTATGGTGGTGCAAGCCTATAATCCTAACATTTGGGAGGCTGAGACAGGGTCACCACCATGAGTTTGAGGCCAGCCTGGACTACATAGAAATTTCTAGGCCTCCCTGAACTACATAATGAGACCCTGTCTCAAAAAAATCAAATAAGTTAATAAATAAGTAAGTGCACTTTATTTAGAGACAGGGTTCTGCTAAGTTGCCCAGGCTGGCCTTGCACTTGTGACCGTAAGCCTCTGCCTCCTGAGTAGCTGAGAGGACAGGGGTGTGCAGCTGTGCCTGGCAGTACATTGTTCCTTTTTCTTGGTTGGTGATATTCCAGTGTATGGACGTGCCGCAGCTGGTTTTGTAGTATTCAACTGTTCTGCATAATGATGCTATAAATATTCTTTTTTCCCCAGTGCTGGAAAACCCCAGGACCTTGTGTATGCTAGGCAAGTGCTGTACACTTAGCTACACTCTCACTACACCATGTTTGTTTGTTTGTGGGGTTTTTGTTTTGAGAGAGAGACAGAGAGAGAGAGAGAGAGAGAGAGAGAGAGGGTCTCACTGTGTAGTTCAGGGTGGCCTTGAACTCATTATGTTGTCCAGGCTGGCTTTGAATTGCCTTAGCCTAGTGAGTGCTGGGATTACAGGTATGTGTACTACGCCCTGCCTCATGAACAGTTTTGTATTTTGTAGACATACATACTTATTTTTCATAGTGGAGTAGAATTTCGATTCATATTCAATTAAAATATGTGTATATTTTAATTTTATTAAGAAAACAAAAACTGTTAGATCTTTTCCAAAGGTCCATCATCAAAGAACAATAAAGTAATCCCATATTCATCATCTTGCATGCCATAGTTAGAGCCAAATGTATCAACAGGGATAAGTTGAATGAAACCTAACTTCTAGCAGAAACTAAAGCAAATAGTAGACTAAAGCATGTGAAACAAATATTACAAATAGTTACAGATACAGACTTATTAGTTAAAACCATAGAAGCATATTTATAACAGTAGTCAGCCATTTCAGAAAGGAGACTCCGGAGGGAGTGGCCGGGGGTCCGATCTCACCTGGACCTGTGGAATTGTATTTCCATAAAAACATCACAAGCACTTACAGCAAGCTGCTAAGATTTAATAAAGGTCAAGTACGGCTGCGTGCTGCGCCATACCGTGGATATTAAGGTCTGTGCCCCTTTGGTTTTCTGGTTGCTCTGTTATTCCTGAGGAGCCTCCTGCACTGCCCTCTCCCACTCCCGTGTCCATTGGGGCATTTCTTTATTACCCTCACTTTTCTTTTATTTTTTGTGACTTTTACAGTAGCCTTATGATGGTGTCTCTTTTCTCTTGCATTTCTTATAATTTTTTCCTTCTGAAATTTTTTACCCCATTTTTGTTCTAAATCACCCAGTTCCTGGTTCAGGTCCTCCTGCTGTGTCACCTTCCTGTGTCTGACCACCCCTTCCTGCAGTTCTTTATTTCTGCTGTGTCATCTTCCTGCATAGCTGCCGTGGCTTCACTATTTTTTTAATTTATTTGTGGGGGTACTGAAAACCAAGCTCAGGACCTTGTGCTTGCCAGGCAGGCGCTGTGCCGCTGAGCTACATCTCCCTGGCCCTCAATATTTATTTCTTAATTCATGATAACATTGAGTTAATATCTTCTGCCTTGTGGTGATATTTCCCTGATGAATTTTCTGTTTACACAGAAGTCAGTCCTTTTCAGTACTGTTTTCTGGCAGTACTTTTTATGACCATTTTTCTTATGAGGCCTGTGATTAGATACTGAGTTACAACTTTATGTCATTTAGCTTTGGATGAGTTAGTTTTTTTTCTTTTTCTTTCTTTTTTTTTTCAATCCATTTTATTTCAAAGAGAAGAAAAAAAAAGCAAAATTTCAAAACACAATCGGGGCAACAATGGTACATACACTGCACATTATCGTCCCCAAATCATTCACTCAGAGCACAAGACATCAGCAGTCAGCTGTCCAAACAGTACCAGCACAAATCTTTTTCTCCAGTGAACTCAGAGAAACTAGTAGTAAAGCTATCTTAAGAGTTAGGTTTTTCTAAGCCAACAGTTGGCAAAAGAATCCTGTGGTGGCAGAGGGGAGTGAGTAGCTCTCCTGGAGCCAGAGCTCAAGGGCTGGCTCCCTCTGTCCTCCCACAGGAGGATGGTCCCTGTAGCCTCCTCCAGCTAAAGGGAAGCGCTTCCCCGTCCTTCCCCAGCCACTGAACCGGAGGTATCTCTGCCCTTCCTGTCGAGGGCCTCCTCTGTTGGAAGTGGCACTGCCCTCAGCTTCCCTTGACTCTGCCAGGCACTTGATTGGTTGATTCTTCCTGTTCTGACCTCTTCTGTGCAGTTCCTATGGGGTAAGTTCTGTCCTCCTGGGGTGGAATTTCCCCTAGAGCTGCTGGGATCTGCCCTGGCCTAGACTTTACACAATCTCTGATATTCTGTGTGTTTTCTGTGTTGGTCAGAACACAAGGATGAAATGATAGACTTTTACTTCTTATTTCTCTGAAGAGGTAGTTTGTGGGCATCTCATGCCCTTCATTCCTGTACAGTTCTCAGCAGTGGTGGACAGACCTGCCAGACTGTCACCACGCTCTGGGCCAGCCATGCAGAGCCCTTTGCAGGCATGGAAGGCCGCAGCGGTCTGACGCAGTGTTCACTTTGGCTTTTCCCTGTGCTCTTAGGTATGACCATGGCTCCAGCCAAACCAGTCTATGCTCTAATCTACAGCCTTCCTCTGTGCTCCTACTTCTTTCCAAGACTGCAAGTATCCACTTCAGTGCTTCTTCATGACAGCTGTGGTGCTGGTGACCCACCATATATCTTTCCCCATGCCTTTCTCTAGAATCAGGATCCAACATGCTGCCCAGGAGGGCCAGACGCATAAACCCAGTCTGATTGTTAATTACAGTGTGTCAACTTGAATGGATTAAGGGTCATCAGCTGCATTAGAGGAGCACAGTTCTGGATGTGTCTGGATGATTGATGTGTAGGCTGCAAACAGGAGAGAAGACACACTCCAGATGAGGATGTTATCAACAAATAAGCCTGTAAATTGGAATGGAACAAAAAGGGGAAGGAGAAGGAAGTCTCATCTTTTTCCTCCTTTAGGGTCTTCACCATGGCCTTTGTTCATCTCCAGTTCCTTTGGGCTTCCAGCACGGACCCCTGGCTACCTGACCCGGACTCGAAGTGGACTCTGCAGTGAGCTGCAGGCCCTTGATTCGGTGGATCCTCCAGCTCTCCAGCATGCAGGTGGCTGTTTTGCAGTCTTCCACACATGGCTCTGGGGCAGCCACTGTAAGTGTACCTGGTACATCTTTATGTGTCATATTTTTTATATTAAACCTGTTCCTCTAGGTGAACCCTAACTGGTATACCCAGCTTGTGAGTTGTGGTGCTCCTTCCCTTGGTAATAGTGACTGCTTCAGGGAATGGTAGATTCCAAAGAGAGCTGGTATCCTTCCCTCAATCTTTCCTCCACCACAGCCAAGAAGCCTGCCTCTTTCCCCAAGCTCACAATGTCCTTGAGCGCATATCCGGAGGAACAGCCTCTCTGCAGGATTGAAGAACATGGCTGACAGCAGAGACAGTGTCCTTGTTTAATTCCTGGTCTTCCTGTGGTTCTTTGTAACGTAGGCCAGCTCGCCACATTTTAGCTCACTGAAAGCACCCTGACAAATATGTCTTGCTTTCTTCTCTCATAGCGTGGTGCTCTGGGATCATTGTGATCGCCGGTTTGTGTGTGACTCCCACTGAATGTCCTCTGCTGTACCTGTCTACCCAATAATAGCTTTGGACTAGCCAGCTCTGAGCAGCACATTTAAGTTTTTAAAAAAGTTGAAACTGCATGTCTGCCTTTCTAGTCTTCACATCCCTTGAGGTTTGCATCCCCCATCCTTCAGGAAGTCTTCTTGTCTGGTGAGCAAATGTCCATGCAGTGTCCTGGGCACAGCTCAGAGCAGCCTCTTACAAGAGCTGCCTCCTCTCTACCCAGTTTCTTCAGCCAGAGGTCTCTCAATCAGATGGCATCTCTTTAGAGCTTCCAGTGTGATTGTAAATCCCAGGATGCCAGGACCTATCACAGAGCCTCCTCCTCAGCAGCCTTTGGTTGCTGCATGTGTACATGGTCGGTACTGGGTTAGATGGAGACTGGTAAGATCATTGGCTGCCGGAGTCCTTATCCTCTGTGACCCGTGAGCTAGATTCATAGGACCAGGGAAAAGCTAAATTGTCCTGCAGAAGGTATGAGTGCTGTTGGAACATCCAGTTAAAAAATTATAACCATTTAACTCTCCATTTATTTACTGTTTTTATAGTTGGTCCTGGCCTTGAACTCAGAGACCAGTTTTGTTTTTCTTCTGATCCTCCAGGTGTGAACCTCACTGGCTCAGAGGTCACTGCACAGAACTTGATCAAATCTTGCCTTCTGCCCAGGAGGAACGACTTTCCAGGCTAGCCATCGTGTGGCTTTGAGTAAAAAAAATCTTACAGTGGAAGGTACACAGCCCCAGATTTCACAGTAGAAATGCAGTGAAACATTCTTTGGTCATCAGATAGGCTGAATAGGTACCTGTGCATATGTATCTATGTGGAGAGAGAGAGAAATTGAGATTTCGTGCTGGGAAAGGGTAAGAAGCCCTGCCTGAGCAGCGTATCTCAAAATAAAAACGGAGGGAATGTAGCAGTGTGAGAGTGAGTAAACAGTACTGACACGTTGCCGTTGTGAGTGGATTGCTGTATGTTTTGGGATTCGCCTTGGTGTCTGTGGAAATAAAAATGCAAAGATTAAATTCAATCATGTCACTTCCATTTATCCTAAGAAATCAAGGTTTTCATTTACAAGAATCATATTTAAAAAGGTTTACAGGTGTTTTATTTATAATAGCAAAAACCTAAAGACAGTTTATGAGGAAATATTGAATATGGTTCATCTGGAAGCTAGGATATACCAAGGAGCTTTGTTTCTTTGTTGTTATCCTTCTTGTTCTTGTTTTGCTTTTTTTTTTTTTTTTTTGTCTTTTTCCTTTTTATCGGTACTGGGGATGGAACTCACGACTGCCCACTTACAAGGCAGGCGCTTATGCCGCTGAGCTAAATCCCCAGCCCCTGTTTTGCTTTTTTGAGACAGTCTGTTACACAATTTACCCTGGTCTTGAACTCACTGTGTAGTCCAGGCTGGCCTCAGACTCATGATCATCCTGCTTCAGCCTTCCAAATGCTGGAATTACAGGTATGCGCCATTACACCTGGCATATCGTGCCCCTTTTAAAAACATTTTTGTAGAATTGGAAATCTCTACAGTGTAGTGGTAGTTGGCAAATAATATTAATGCTATGATCTTACTTTGGGCAGGGGAGGAAATCTTTGTACATGATTATGATTATTTGAGTCTGGAGAAAGAAGTAGCAGGATGCCACCGCCATTATTAAAGTGCATTTTCCGGAAGGATGAGTGCTGTTTGACTTGTTGTATTGAGATTTTTAAAACAAACTATTTACTACCAGCAGCGCCCCCGGTGCTTTTAAAGACAAAGTAAGTCTAACAAGGCTCCATGGGGCTCTCTGGCACCTCAGTTTCAGTTACCACTAATCCTGCAGATAAGTAGCAAGGCAGGAAGTGGGCCTCTGAACAGCCAAAACAGCGGTCCAAAGCTCAGGCTTTGGCTGGATCCTCCACCTTTGTCTTAAACAGCCCAAAGCAGCTTTTGCAGGCTGGGCACATTGGTGAGGATGCTATCAGCAGTGACTGCGGTCTGAGTCCAGGGACACGAGGAAGATGAAGACAGGGATACTAGGGTCCTGGCCGCCGGGGCATCTCAGGAAGTACCTGCTCTTCATGGTGACAATGCCGACTTTTGGGGGAGAAACAAATCTGTTCCCGTGTGATCTTGTAAAGGCTTCCCGATTAGAGTGTGACACCATCCAAAAGTATCCCACCAGACACAACAGTCTCTCTGCTTTGTTGCCTAAAATGTAAGTGCTTTTTCTGTCATTGCCAGAATATAGCTGTGGTCTGCACTGTGAGCGAGACAGAGTGGCTGTCTACATTTACAAGTTTGTAGAGCAGGTGTGACAGTGTGAGAAGTTACTCAGAAATGGAATGATTTCCTCCAAGGGCATTGTTTGCTCTTTGGGTAAAGAAAGGTCCATCGTCTGTTATCAGAAATCTTTGGGACCTGATGACTCTTGGAACTGAGAGACTTTTAGTTTTTGAAAGCTGGCAGGCACATGTATGTGCTGTGTGTTGTATCATAATTAAACACTCATTTCTATAGTGAAGTTTTGGAAACACTAGTTAGGACACATACTGTATAGTTTATTTCAATAATAAACTGGAAAGTTAAATAAATACAGATTAGAAATACTATAGTAATCTGGTCTCTGAGAAAAACATTTTGTAAAGATTTAAATATAAACAGGTTTAGGTTTAGCTAACTGTGCCTGTGCACACAGACCATGAACAGTGACCTGCTGTGGTTCGCCTGCATCCCAGAGGACAGGCGCACAGGCCTGCGGCCAGTGGGAGCCAGGAATGGATGCCAGCTGCAGCAGAATTAAGGTCCCGCTCCAACACGTGCCCTTGTTAGGGGCTTCCTTCCCCTTGTCATGTGGTTCATTAACGGTTTTCATCTGAGCAGTCCCAGATCCTCCTGCCTCAGCCTCCTAAGTGCTGGGGTCACAGATGTGTACTACCATACCCAGCTGGCAGTCCTTCGATTGTGAAAACTGCCATAAATTCATGTTTGCTGACAAATGTGCAGTTAAGGCCAGCCTTTGACTGCTGACATTTTCACTGTATCATCTGGTTTTTTCCACCCGTGTTTAGTTTCTTCTTCTTCTTCTTCTCCTTCTTCTTCTTCTTCATCATCATTCTGGTGATTATCCATGTTTAAGACCACTTTACAGTTTCCCTGCTTAAGATTTGCACAGCAGAAATGTCAAAGTGGAATTTTTCCTTTTGCTCTTTTTTTTTTTAATGTCAGCTTTATGCTTTAGCTGATAAGCTTTCAACATAAAATAGTGATCTTGTTAGTGATAGGAAATCCTTCAAATCTTCATCTGTAATTGTCATTTCAAACATCACAGTAAGCCAGGGACCATACTAAGCATTTTAAAAAGCAGACTTTCAGTTTTGAAGTAGATTTACAGGAAGGTTGCAAAGGTAATTTGTTCTCACATATCCCACACCTGCCTTCCAGTGCTGAGCAACACGACACATACGTTAAAGCTCATGTTAGCAGGGATGCAGTGCTGCCGGCTGTGGTCCATCCTCCAGCCGTTTCCCACCGTGGCCGTGCTGCTGAGGGCTGCCCTGGGCGCTCTGTTGCATTTCTTCACCTGTCTGCTCACCACCTCCATTCGTGGCGGCTGGTCAGTGTTTCCTTGTTTTCATGACCTGAAATTTGAGTAGAACTGGTTGGGTCTCTTACGAAATGCGATTTAACTTGAGTGTCTGATGTTCTCGTCATTCATCTGGGGCTCCATTCACATCAGTGTCAAGCGTTTGTTTCATTTCCCTTTTTTATTTCTGCAGTGAGGTCCTGTAGGTGCTCCGTAAGCACTCTGCCATTGAGCTGCATCTTCTGCCCCACTGCCAGGTGTTTTGTGTCTGTCTCTCTGGTACAGAGGATTCTGGCAGTTGAGCCCATAGCCTCTAGGCAAGTGCTCCAGGCCTCTTTATTTGAGGTATTGTCAAAATGGCCCTGTGCCGGCCTCCAGTTGCAATCCTCCTGCCTCTGCCTACCAATTATGTGGGGTTACCATGCACATGCACAGTTGCCAAATATTTTAAACGCCAAGTTATTATCATTCCAAACCTTAGCACCTGTGTTAATGGTGTCCAGAAAACAGAACTTTTCCATTCTCAGAGCAGCAAGCACGCATCTAGGACAGTTTTTGTTTTCTCGATGTTTGCTTGCTCTTTGTGGAGGGTAAAAGCCCACACTGGCATCATAAGCAGTTTAGGGTGGCCTATATGGCACGCTTCTGTAGGAGGAAAAACGTGTGCCAGGCCTATCCCTAAATCGGGCCAGGCTGCTGCTGCTGTTGATGAGAGGTCTTCATGTGGTTACCCACGTTCCGTTTGCATAATAAAGCCCAGGTAAATGATGTGTGGGTGCCAGAAGTCTGGGACTCTCTCTTTGCAATCCCTGCTAAGTTTACCAAATATGGCCAGCGACAAGTGACTGCTATGAGTTAGAGCCAGAATGTTGCAAAGGCCTTGATGTGTTCTGAGGCGGAGCTTCTGGAGGGCAACTGAGTCATGGCATGCTGTGTTTACCAGTGGGTTCATCTGTGGCTGAGTTCAGAGCCAACTGCACTGTTAGGAGGTGGGGCCTGGCATAGAAGGGTCTCTGTCCCCAGCTCCTCTCTTCTCTCTGCTTCCTGCCCACCAAGACATGGGCAGCTCTTCTCTCCCCAGCCCTGCCTGCTGTGGAGCCGGCAGACTGTGACCTGAAACCTCTAAACCATGAGCCCAAATAAACATCTCCTTTAAACTGTGGGTGCTGGGTGTGTCTACCACGTGCCACACCCCAGAGCAGTCAGCCTGATGTTGCTTAAGCCTGTTCTAGCATTGTCAGTTCACTCAAGCCAGGTTTTCATCAGACTGATGAGTGTGACTTTCCCACGCATCTTGACCGTAGCAACCATCCATTCCCATTTTATTTTCAGACTGTTTTGTGGAATGCTGCTTCTCAAATTTCTACAGCCAGCTTATATGAATCTTCACCCATACCTTCAAGGTTCAGTTCTTTGAGATTCAGTATTTAGATACAGTGTATGTTCACTTGTCGAATTCACCCACCAGTGTCTGGTGAAGAGCTTTGATTTTTGTTCTGTGGAGTATTTTCTTACTTTCATTAACTTGTTTATCATCACTGTAAAATTTGATTTCCTTTTTTATCATTTACTTATTTATTTTTTGACACTGGCTTGCACTATTTAGTTTAGCCTGGCTTTGAACTTACTCTGTAGCCCAGGGTGGCCTTGAACTTGAGGTCCTCCTGTGTCAGCCTCCCAGGTACTGAGATTACAGGCTTATGCCACGATGACTGGCCTTTGACATGTTTTTATGTGGAACATGAAAGGCTGGCAGATACCCTGACATCACGCTTCTGTGATGATATCTCTGCACTGCAGTGAGAAGAGCTGTCTTTCTTCTTTTTATCTTCTCACTATTACCCTTATGGTATCTTTGGCTCTGTTTACCATTTTCATAGTTACAAAGGAACAAAAAGAAGCAACAACATAGCACACAGCAGACAGCCGAGGAGGAATGCTGTAAGACAGCGGAGTCTTAGGTCAGTTCAAGCCAGGCTTTGTGGCTCCAAAAGTTTTGGTGCCAGACTTGGGCACTATCTTTTCATCTTAACAGACACATTTTGGAATTGCAAATAGGGAATCATGGACTGAAGTTTTGAAGAAAAAGTTTTATATGGTGAATAATCTGAGCTCCCAGATACATTCACTAAATGTTTCCTGAGCACACGGACAGTGACTCCAGCTTTTCCAGCCAGAGACCCCTGTGGCCTTGGGCTGTGCGTGTGCAGCTGCCAGCCGAAGGTTTCCACTGGACAATCAGCTTAGCCACAGTGAAAGGTCATTTACAGATAGTGTTTTACCTGTATGTATACATTGAGACGTAAAATTTGTTCAATATGAATTTAAAAATGTGTGTATATATATATTTATAAATAGATGCATGAAAACAGACTCCATGCATATAATAGATTTACCTGAAGTCCAAGAGTTTGGGGCAGCAAATCACAGTATTTATCCCAAGGCTTGCACAGGAAATGAAAATGAATGTTTGGTTCCTAGAAGTACAAAAGGGAGTTGTGGGTGGACCCAGATCTAGAAAGGGACGCCGTGTGTGGTTCAGGGTTTATCATGGGAATGGGTTCAGTGTGCACATATCTACCTGTGTACAAGGCAAAAGGCAAGTGGAAGGAAGAGCAGGACCTCAGAGGAGCGGCTGTGCAGGAGGAGGCTGGGCAGACAGGCAGATTCACCGACTCAGTGCCGCCTCTGCCCAAGAGTGGGTGGAGCTGCACCTCCTCTGTCCTGCTGTCTGCTGTCCCTCTTCAGAGACAGATTCTGGGTAAAGATCTGTTTGCCGTATTTGCTGATGCCCCTTGAGCTAGGAGAGGCCTGCCCTAAGAAGCTTGTTAGTGAGGCAAAGGCAGACTGAGTTTAAAGGCTGTTGAGGGGCAGAGGGAAGTTGCAAGATTGTAGAGGAGAAATAAAGCCTCATGCACCTTCTGCGGCCTGATGCAATCCTTCTGTGCAGTTTCTCAATAGCACTTCAGCCCTGAATCTGAGGTGGTCCTTACGAAACAGTGAGCCACTCCCTCGTACTGTGGGATCGGTGCCGCCCACAGCAAAAAGAAAAAGAAAAAAAGCCCTTTTATAGGGTCATGGCGCCCTGGTTCATCCATGCGAGGGGAAAAGGCTATGCCTTGGCTTGAACATCTCGTAAATGACCCAGCCCCACCTGTCATCCTGAGTATCAGCCTCTAGGGTTTATTTAGTCCTTAGTATTTACATTTAAAGGATTTACTACAGCATAGGCCGGTGGTGGTGAACAGCTTAGAGCTTTCAGTGATACAAATAGCTCACTGCAGCATGAGTGCCACACGCTCGCCACCACAGGCATGGGCCAAAATTTAGCGCATTTTACCTGTTAAAAACAAAAAATGAAGCGGGCATGGTCGTACACATGTGTAATCCCAGCAGTCTGGGAACTGAGGCAGAAGGATCACAAGTTCAAGCCCAACCTGAGCAATTTGGTGACTTTGCAAGACTTTGTCACAAAATAAAAATAAAAAGGGCTGGGGATGTAGCTCAGTGCAAAGGCCCTGGGTTTAATCTTTAGTACTGCAAAAAAGAGCAGGGTCACAAAGAATAAATTTAAGAGAAAACTTCTGTGAACAGTATATACCAGTGTATACATTTCTGTAGTGAAAAGCAACCCTACGATAATCTCAGGATTTTAGGCCTTGTTTATTTTGTTTTTTTGGTCTTTTTGAGACAGGGGTTTCACTGTGCAGTTGAAACTAGCCTTGAGCTCACTTTGTAGCCCAGGCTGTTCTTGAACTTGCTGTGATCCTCTTGCCTCAACCTCCCAAGTGCTGGGATCACAGGCGTGCACCATCAAGCCCAGCATGTTTTGTTCTGTTTTTTGGTGAATCTTAGTAACAGAAGTTTACTGGTTTATAAAAGGATAGCTGGAGCAAAGTAGTTCACGTGACTGCTCAGATGTTTAGGCCTCGTCTTGCTTGCTGTCCACAGTATCCTCATGAGAGCTGGGAGGCGTTTTCTAACATCTTTGTTTTAGCTTTGCATCTTTGAGATAGTTTAACATCTATAATGTTACCACGCAGGTGTAATTGTGAAATAAAACCAGAATCCTGTTTGCTTGTTTATTTATTTATTTTTGTTTTGCACCAGGGTCTCACTGTGTCATTCAGGCTGGCCTAGAACTCAGGGTGATCCTCCTGCCTCAGGCTCCCACAGGCTGAGATTATAGGTGTGCACCACCATGCCTGGCACCAGAATCCACGTTTATCACTCTGGTATATTTACCTATAATAGAGTAGATGTTAAAGTAAGTTCTGTCAGAACTGACAGTGAAATATGCAAAAGAGTTTCTGCCAGCCAGGATGGTTTAAGCCAGGTGTGGTGGTGCATACCTGTAATCCCAGCACTCTGGGAGGCCAAGGCAGGATGATCAGTTTGACCTCAGCCTGGGCAGTTTAGCAAGACTGTCTCAAAGTAGTGAAAAAAGGGGGCTAGAGGTGAAAGCTTTGGGTTTAGTTTCCAGTATCACCAATAAGTAAAATAAAAAATAAAATTACTGCAGTAAATGATTTTTTGTAGTTGAATTACTAATCTTAAGTGTTGGTAGTCACATCCCCCAAAACTGGTTTCAGAATAAAAATTCAGCCACATAATCCTTCAGTCTAAGAAAATTTAGTTTGTTAAAGCTGTATAGAGATGGCGACTTTAGAAAATATCAAAGAAATACACAGATTCTACAAAAAAAATAGGGCAAACCTTTTATTTGGAACACATAAGTATGTGTCTTGTCTGTTAACCTCCAGCATGCTATAAGCACATGCATTAAAGTTGTACCAATCTGGTTTTAAGACGGGGCACACAATAGGTAATTCCTCAGCTCAGTCACTTTGCTTTAAAAACCTGAAATACAGTGACTTTGTTCTTATGATGTTTCCAGCATGAGGATCCTAGCAGAAGCCTCTTTATGGTCCTCCTGCAGGTGATTTGCTCTTCTCTGGGGCTGCAGGTGGATGATATTATCCAGTGCCTATGGCCAAGTGTTTTCAGATCAGCTAAACTTTCTTTTCAAAGTTGTTTCTTAGTCCCGAGACTTTCAGGCGTGCTCTGAATAGGTATTTGTGATTTTTTTTTCCAGAATAAAATAGTGCCTGATTTTCAAAACTAGGAATTTCTAAGTGCAATAACCCACCTCATGGGACCACTGACAGGCCAGCCTCGTCGGGGACACTAAGCCACCCTTGACCACCCTGTGCTGTTCGAGTCCTCTGGGACCCAGGCTGGCTTTGAAGCAGAGCCCTGGCCTGACCCGCCAGTCCCCTAACTCGGTTTCCAGAGGTGCAGGCGCAGGCAGGGGGCACAGGGACGCCACCACAGTGCAGCTGTTAGCTTCTGGCGGGGTTTCGCATCCTGTGCACCCTGACTCCTTTCTCAGCAGGCACAGTTACAGTTAGAATGAAAGATAGCTGCGTAAAACACCACCTCGGGAAGCTCTGCATTGTTAGGGCAGAATGCCTGAGGAGACCTTTCAGGTGTTTCTGCGACAGGAATAACTTGATTCCTGTGGTTTGGTGTGAAGGAGGACCCACCGGGAGGGTCAGAGCAGAATGTTCCATCTGTGTTTCGGCGTGCACACACGGAGATTCCCCTCCCTTCCTCCCTCTGCCCTCTTTCTTCACCCAACACAGCCCGGTCTGTGCCCACGGTGTCTCCAGCCTCGTTCTAGGACTTCTTGCCTATGTTTTGTCCTTAGTAAATGCTAACCAACTGGTAAAATGCATTTCCTTTTTCGTTCTGTTCCTTTGGCTATGACAGTAATTTTAATTTAAATTATATTTAACTGGTAAAGCATGTATGGAAGCAGTTTTATGATACATTTTCTTTAGATCACTCAGTAGCAAAAGAATTTAATGAAAGCTGGGTGTGGCGGCACATGCGTATAATTTCAGCGCTCAGGAGGTTGAGGTAGGATTGCTGTGAGTTCAAGGCCAACCTAAACTACACAGTAGCCTAAACGACAGGTTGAGACCCTATCAAAAAAAAGAAAGAAAGAGAAAAACTGAAGTTTTGTTCAAGTTACAGAGAAAGTAAATTCCTTCCTCTTAGGATTATCCCTTCATACATGCATTATTTCCAGCTTAAATTTAAAAATAAAGTATCACCCCGCTAAACATACCAGTGCAATGACTTGAATAAAAATACTGTTAAATGACTATGACTTCACTCCTAATTGAATGTTCCCTGTAATTACTGTTCATTGTCACTAAGTCAGACACTTTGGAATGTCACTCTGATTTTGTGCAGGTCGTATGATTTGCTGTCATTTTCAGAGAAACCAGAGATTCATGGCTTCAGTCTGTCCTGCTTCCAGCTGCACTCTGTCCATCCTCAGCCCCCTAGAGTAGCCTCCCCACGGTGGGAACCCCAGGTGGGGCCCCCCACCTGTCTCCCTCAAGCCTATGTTTGCTTCTGCCAGATGTCCTGGGTAACGTGGAGGGGGACAGCCCTGACTGTCTCCGTGTTCATCCAAACGTTAGGATTCCATGATTGGAATTCACTATGCACCACCAGCATTGCAAACCATCCAGCGTAGCAACAAAAAACCGATTGCAGTGAAAAAATTGGACCAAAATAAACCAGAAGTTTTGAAATTAAAAGTAGACCCAGTTCAGGAGGGGTCTCTGAGCATGTTATTCTTTTTTATTAATAAATAATTTTCAGTGGCCTTTTCTCTTCAGCAAGTCACCTCTTATGTTAACAGCATACTGTTCTCAGAGAACGTAGCTGCAAATGGAAACTAGACAAAGGCTGCTGTAGGTTACACTTTGATACATAGTAATGACACTACATAAGGTGCCACTGTGTGTGTGTGTGTGTGTGTGTAGGAACCATGTGTAGAGAACTCGTGGTACGGTATTGGGATTATAAAATCCTCGCTTACAGATGATGTCTTGTCTGTTCCTACTGTGCTAACAGTACCTGAGTCCAGGTAGTTTATAAACAAGGGATGTGTTACAGCCCCTGGGGGCCAGGATCCAGTCTTCGAAGGTCGGTATCTGGTGAAGTCTGCTGTCTGCTTTTGAGATGCTGTCACCGGTCACCTCTGCTTCATGTTTTAAAGGTGTTAATCTTATGACTTTTAGAGCTGGGGTTTGAGTCCTCCATGGATGCCTTTGATGTCACTGTATACTCACTGCTGCTGTCCAACTCCGACACCCTGGCAGAACACACGAAGTGCCCTGCAGAGCCTGCTGGCCCTGCCTACCGTGTGCCCCAGGTGGTGTCCTACACGGACCAGCATGGGTTGTGTCTGCCGTCAGCTGTGCTGGCCTCTGTGGAAACAAACATCTCCCATTCCTGTCCCTGCTAGGGGCCTGGGCTGCCCTCTGTTCTGATCCGCATACCTGGGACATCCTCTTTGCTCTGAGACTGCCTTCCTGAGCCGCCTCCAGTGAACAGTGAAACATGTATTCTCTTGTAACCATTCTGCACTGTTTCACTAATTCTGATAATAGTGTTTCCATCTTCCTTTAGAAACCTGTTTCTCCCTCCATGATCCAGGCTAGTTTCCCTACCAGGAACTTCCCAGCTCAGCTGGAACTGACAATCCAGGCCTGGCCCATCAGATTTGTGGGGCCTCCCTGGCCACTGGGCTGGCCCAGGATTAGGGCTGTGCCCAGCCAAGGCCAGTGACGTGCACTGAGACTTTCTGGGGCTGCCGGGAGAGCAGCTGAGCCTCGTTTCCACCTGCGGAGTAGGGAACACGTGAATCTAGAGCTGCGGCAGCTATCTTCTTGCTCCACGGGTAGGAAGCTGTCAGACTATTGATAACAGCCAGTGTACAGTGAGGGAGGGGTAAGGTTTGCTTGCCCTTGTGACATAATTTAATGTGTCTACCTTTGAGTGTCACGTGAACTAAATTCTCTTTTTGCATAAGCTAGTTTGGGTTGGAATTTCTGTCACCCATGACAAGGTTGTTGCTTTGTCCCCTTGGTTCCCAGCACAGCAGTTAGACTTTGTTACTTACAAATTTTTTTTTTTTTTTTTTTTTTTGTACCAAGAATCAAACTCAGGACTTTGTGTTTGCAGGCAGGCGCTGTGCCACTGAGCTGTATCCCTTGCCCTACAACTGTACCCTTAATGACACCCTTCAGGAACATAGTGACTGCTGCAGTAATGGAAGAGTGGGTGCCGCAGTGGCCCACACAGTGCTGTTCTCTGGTGAACCGCAGTGAGAGAGACGAGAGCAGCATGGGCAACGACCTGTCTGAGCCTGTTCCCTCAGCTGGCTTTGGCAGCTTCACCTGGGAAATGGAGAGAAATACACATGTTCAGGCCCTGTCCCACTTCCTGAACCAGAATCTTTGGGGGCAGAACAAGTCTGAGCTACCTTTCTAGCCTTTTAAAATTTGGAGACAGAGTTTTGCCAAGTCACTAAGTTACCCAGGCTGAGCTCAAACCTGGCATCCTCCTGCTTCAGCCTCCCAGAGTGCTGGGACTACAGCATGCACTACCACGCCAGGCCTAGTTAGGATCCTTGAAGAGAGTAGGGAAGGGGAATTACAGAGTCGACCCATACACATAATAGCATTGCCAAATGAGCTCTGAGACTTCACATGGCCCTGATCCCTACAAGGGTGTGATCATTTTTCAGCAGTTATTAGGCAGCTCCAGCATGGAAATAAATCCTGCCTTCAGGTGGACTTGAGGCTGGTGTAAGCAGAGCAGGCAGGTCAGAAAGACTATAGCCGGGTGCAGTGCACATCCTTGTGATCCCTACTCAGGGCGCAGAGGCAGCAGGATCTCCAGTTCAAGACAGCCCACACAATTTAGCCAGACTGTCATCTTACAAAAAGGGTTGGGAATGGAGTTTAGCCTGGAGTGCATGAGACCCTGGCTTCGGTCCCCGGCATGGGGGGCTGTGTTGTATGTTCATTTATCTGGCAGAAAATTCATTGACAGTTTATGAAGCTACCTTTAAAAAGCAACACTGTCCTGACTTCTGTATTTTTTCCCTTGCTCTCCTCCTTGCATGAGAGTGTGCATGTGTGTGTGTGTGCGTGCGCGCGCGCGCGTGGTACACGCTGAACCCAGGACCTCATGCCTGCCAGGCAAGCACTCCATCAAGCTACGTTCTCGCCCTCGTATTTTCTTCTAGTAAAGTACTTGCAGGGGATGGTACTGGGGTTCAGGAACCTCCAAATCTTGTTCACTTAAATGACTCCTCATTGTAGATGGAAAAATACCTTAATGCACGAATTTTACACAAGCTTTTAAGAAAGCAAATTCATCTTTCACACAGCAAAACTAAACAGCAAGTACGTCCCAAGTCTTACCATAAAAATAAAAGAATCTGACAAAGTGCGACGTTAAAGGACATTTTATTTACTGACAGTAAAAACCATAACTTCAGGCAGTGCAAAATGCACACTGAACCCAATTACAAAGATCTGTGTCAATACACAATGTTTAAGCAATGCTACAATTGTTTTTGGCAAAGTGCTGTATTGTTCATTCTATAAAACTGACCATCTATGAACCAATCAATATAAAAAATTTCTATAAAAACAAAAATTTAGACAGTGGCTCAAGGAAACAAGCTGCCATTTATGCATAGATTGATGTACAGTATACAATCTAACCAAATGTCCCTTTTGAGTTTTTCAAGTTGATGAAAAAAACGTGTGTCCCGAAACACATCAAGAAGGCACATAGTACAACCTACAATACTCTTCAGTCTCTGGAACTCATGCCCTGCCCTGGAAAAGCAAATGTGTTCACAATTTTACTTGAAAAAAAGCCACATAAAAAAAAACACACAGTTATTAATTATATTCAAAACTTCAGGGGAAGACACAACAAAAAACCAAACAAAACCACTCACACACTCCAATCCTGAAACACATACATCGAACCTCCCCAAGTATTGGTTTGGTTTGTATAAAGTCCATCTAGAAAACAATACTAAATCTTCAGGTTAATGCAGAACAAAACTGGGCATTTAATAATTATACAAAATTTCAATGTCACAATGAAAATTCTCAAAGATACACAAAACATCTATATAAGCTGCCTCCTCCTGAACTGTAACTTCTCCCACGTAAAAGATACCATTTGCCAATGAGAAAAGATACCCTTTTCTGGTTGTTTTCCAGTACACCTCTTTCTCCATCTAAACCACTTTAACTGGTGTCACATTTTAAGTGGAACTGACACATGGCAAAGGCGACACCATTACTATTATGTAGCTTTTCTAAATAAAGCATTTTATATAAAATTTTAAGCATTAAAATAAGTAGAAAAGGATGCCATTTATAATACATCAGCATGGCTGATGGCAGAAAACCATCCATCATGGGAGCCCAACTTTTAAAGAGTTTAATGAGTATAGGTGGGCCTCATAAAATAAAAAGATTAACTGCAAGGTAACATTACCAATGTATGCTAGTATCTCCCGTGCAGGGAGCAGTCTTAACTGATTCTAAAACAAAAATATGGAAAATTTTCTCACGAACCCATTTAAGTGTGACTGTCTATCTTCTAGTTGGAGTCCTGCATATTTTTGTTTCCAACTCAGAAAATGAAGATAAGGAAAATACCCTTATTCTTTTCTAAGAATATATAAAGACAGTGTATTTCCTTGAGGGAAGGAGAAATAGCACAGAAATTCATCTTGTAACAAAGATTACTAAACCAGTGTTATATGCAGGTTTGAGAAGCAAAGGGCCATAAAGGGCAATGCTCAGCACCCCTCTCAGTTTTAAGTAAACTGTCTTGTCGGCGGAATCCAAGAACTCATAAAATGGAAAGAACGTAAACAGGAACAGTTTACGTGGGAATTGGAAAAATACACAAGAAATTAATGTTAAAAGAACGCTCCCTCTGCAGTGGGAAGTAAAAATCCAATCACTTTGCATCTTTGACCAAAAAAACTACCCACCCAACCCGTATAAACCCACTGCCACGAAAGATAAATTAACGGATGGCTAACCTTCAGCTTACAGTACAGGGCATAATTCAATCAGCTGAGGAAGAAAAAGTAGTAAACATCAGATATGCATTATATAATGTTTTATTAACAAAAACACAAACTTTAAGGAATGTGGTGCTTTGTAAAAACTCAAACTCATTCACAAAGCACTGCTTGTACACACCACATATTTCAGACTTTTTGGAGTAACATTCTAAGTTACCAGTTTCAAAATGGCCAGCACTACTAATTCAGAGGGGTCTTATTTCTCACTGCTGAGCTTTTAAGTAATATGCACTGAAACACACTGTAAACCACTAACAGTTACAACAGCAAAAATAGTCAACTCAAAATACATTTTGGCCATGTTTCAAAGAATACTTAACAGGTCAACATCATTCTGTGTGATTATTGGCCTCATGTCTTACACACTGGATACCTAATAAACATCTAGTGATCAAGAATTTCTACTGAATTATGTAACCATTTTCTTACATTTGCCAATTTTAGGACCTTAGATACCGACACAGAAACCACATTGCGTTATCATAGGTGGTGTAATCCTAGCCCTGATAAAAATTCTAGTGGCAGAAATTTTTTTTTGCTAGGTGTAAAGCATAAAAAAGTAGACCCAGATAAGGGGAACAAAAAGTCAGTAGCAGAGATATGAACATAAGGGATCAAGAAATCTTGAAGGGGGAAGCAATTTAAAAAGACCATTGCACTTTTATATACAAATCTATTCATGCTGCCAAATAAGTTCCCATGGCTGAACTTCTGTAGCTTGTGAGGTACAAACAGTTTGCATGCAATGTAAGACACAGTCACCCCATGTATGCAGAGGCTTCGGTTCCAAGGACATTTAGCTGGTCTGTTTTCAAGTTACGACCATGAGGCCCTAAACACACACGGTATAAAACATACACACCTTCATGAAAACTACCTCATCACCCAACTCGTAAACACAAATAGCAACAAATAACTTCTAACTCAGTTTTACAAAACTTTGCAGACTTGGCCCCTAATTAGAAAATAAATAAATAAAAGGGAAGTCAGTATAAAAGGGGACAAGGAAAGGGAGATCTAGACTCTTGTACAGAGACTTCTGGCTTGTCACTGCAGCCAGCGGAAGAACAATCTAAACCACCAACTGCTCGACCCATCCAACTCTGAACGCCCTGGTCAGAGAAGCACAGAGCTCTTCCTCAGTCCCAGGACTCCCTGCATCGAGTTACTGAAAAAATATAATACTTCATGTAACTGTATGCTGCTTTTTGCCTTGAAAACACGTCTTGGATGCACGTTCATTTAACTAGGGCTGCAGAGGCGATGCGAGAGTAAGCTGCTGGATTTTAAAGGCAACGATCCTGATCCGTCACTACAGTGTGCTCCGAACTGCGTGTATGTGTTCACTAACTTGAGGAAGCTGGTGAGTGTGTGGGTGGCTCAACAAAACCCATCACAAATGCAGGAAAACAAGTGACCGACTAGAGCTAAGGGAATCGGTTCTTCTATGTGGAGTTAACTGGCCTGTGTGTGAGCTGAACCCTGCACTCTGGCCTCATCAGCACCAACACTGAAGAGCAGTTGTGGCAGAAACACAGCCACGGCCTCCATTGCTCGGTTCAGTAAAAAGGCGCTTGGAAGTTTACACCAGGTTCAGTCTGGAAAGCCCACTTCCAGTCAGGACGCGTCCTCACAGCTACTGTGAAGGAGGCACTGTCACAACTGCCCTGCTGTGCAGGACACAGGCCCAAGTGGTTAAAGATTCTGCCTGAAGTTAAAAGATGAGGACTCAAGGAAGCCAACGTGTCACTCTTCGCTCTTCGCTCAGGCCTACAAAAAGGCACCTTGAGAGATCCCTCTTCGCCCTCCCTTGCCCCTTGATAGCACAGGCTTACGTAGGGGATTCTGCAGTCTCTCTTCCTGTGGCAGATATATGAAGTCACTCAAGTGCCTGCCTGCTCAAGCAGTTTTCAACTTACAGCTGATGGCGAGGGGCAGTGGACAAAGCTGACAGGAAAGAATAAATACTGGACTAAGGGTCACTTATAGACATGAATTTTTCCAAATAGAATTTCACAGGTCTCATTTCTTCCCTGTGTATGTAAGACGAGTGCTTTTGTCTGTGACACCTACAATATTTGTACCACATCACACAGTCACATTGGAATTACTGAATGCACTGTTCACTAAAGCTTTATGTACCTGAATTCCATAGTGAACTGAATGACTCATCTGAAAAAAAAAATTTCACACACAGAAATATATCAAGTTTTCTTTCAAAAGGAAGTCCAGCCATTCCATTATATCCATGGCAAATATCATCTATTAATGCTCATGTTAGTGTGTAAAAATGTATTCATTATATACAGAAAAGATTATCAAGTACTGGTCAATAAAGTATATGGGTGACCCTGAGAATAAATTTTGCTTGCTCAAAAGATCAATTAAGTAATACAAAACAAAATGAAACTGAAAGATGCCTGTTCCCATACTCAGGGGGAAGAAATGTCTTTAAAATGCTAATTCATCTACATTTTAATACAGACACCCCCAAACACCAAACACTGTAATTATATTGATATGTTTTTTAAAATATTCTGAAAAACTTACAAAAAAGTAAATGTTAGGAGCAAGGCATCAGGTGGTATACAGCATAGAAATCTAGGTTTTAAGATAGTGTCTAAACACACTGATAAACTATGTGATTGGTCACAACTGGCTGTAAAGAGACAGCATGTTCATTGTATGTCCAAACACATATGCACAAACCAAGAAAAACCAACCAGCAAAACTTGCAAGTTCCTAGTAATTGTACTGACGAGGGCAAGGCTGGTGGACGACCCAGCCACCGTGCCTCACTTGCCGAGAGTGGCCATCCCTGCTAAGATTTTGGCGACGAAGGCTGTTTCTGCTCAGTGACTGTCTTTCACTGTGTTCTTTTATCCACTGGGGAGGACGAAAGCTCTTGGGCTGTTCCAGAAAAGTTGTATGAGCAGCAAGAGCTGCAACATAGCAGTGAATGTGTTGCCCCATTTCGCTTTGGGCTTCCACTCTGAAAAAGAAAGGAGTAGAAGGTGTTAAAGAACCAAGTATGATACTGACAAAACTGAAAAGTTACTCAACAACTGTTTGCCACACTAACTTGTTTGCAACTGGATACAACTTTCTTGTCGCATGGCTGACAAGTTTAAATTTTGTGACCACACTGACTGACCCTGGTGGAAAGAAGTCCACTTTCCATAGAGTCAGGCTTAGTGGACAGAGTCCCCAGGAGGCCCAGGAGACTGTGTTCTAAAAATATGCTTTTTACAGACTGGATTTAAGTAAGCTTTTCTATAATTGTATTTATTGAATATTTGCATCTTACAAATATTACCTATTTTCATTCTTACCATAATCTTAAAAAGGAAAGTATTTTAATTCTCAAATTTTACTGATCAGAAAGCATTGTAGCAATTCTTCAGATTCTTGGTCTACAAATAAAATGTTCTAGTAAACATGTTTCAAATCTATATTTAATAGAAAGGTACACAAAGAAATTATGACCTAACACTTTTCTAGGAAATAAACTTATTGTAGAAAACAGCTCTAAGTTCTTATTTATCACACTTACACGGTAATGTTTAAAGACCCTTGTGGAACACATATTCTTAAAGTAGAGCTCTACAGTATATTATTTATGACCTCTATATTAACAGGCAATCAAGTAGGACTGATCTAAGCTATATTGACACATGACTGATTTTTTAAGACTTTTTTTTCTCCCGCAGTGGGGACTGAAGCCAGGGTCTTGCATAAACTAGACAGGTGCACTGCACCACATCCCCAGACCAAGTTTTCAGACTTTCTTTTTGTACCGGGGATCGAACTCATGACTCTGCGCTTGGCAGGCAGGTGCTTATGCCACTGTGCTAAATCCCTGGCCAAGTTTTTAGACTTTTAAGGGTTATTTTACACAAGAAAGGCAACTGGATATTCTGCCCACAATCACTTGAGGAAAACACTTCTCTTTCATTCTTTTAAGTAGAATTACAACAATCCCATTAAGAAATTTAAAGAGGTCCCACTAAGAAACTAATGGAAGATTAGGGCTCTATCTCAGCAGTGGAGTGCTTGTTGAGCATATGCAAGGCCCTGCGTTCATCCAGGGCACTGCCCAAAAAAAAAAAAAAAAAAGAAGAAAGAAAAGAGAAACCTTCATATTAACTAGAAATTAACATAAAGAGTTTACTTAAGAGATGGGTATTTCAGTCCCTAGCCTCCCTGTGTAGACTAATAACACAGATCACATGGTCTCAAAGTGAATGTACTTACTCTGTGCCCGAGATTCTTATAAGCAGCTTTTCCTGGCCCTACAAATGTTAAATGGTGAACTATTAAATCACTAGTAAGATTTAAAATGCTATTTTAATTTTACTGTTAGGACGTGGTCAACTTTATTAATACTGATTGGCTATGGGTCATTAAAGAACATTCATTACTTAAGATTATGATAGCTTATAAACTTTCACACGCAATATTTATAAAGGCTAAAATGCAATAAAACACACACTCCAAAATCTAATGTAATTAAGAAGCACCTTACTTTTAAGTAAGTAATATTATGGTAATATTCCTGAGGACAGACAGGATAAGAGCAATTTAACTTTTAAAAGACAGTTTATTGCCCTGCTGAGAAGACAGACTTTTTTTTGGTGGTTCTGGGGTAAAACTAGGCCTTGTTGATACTAGGCAAGCACACTACCATTTAGCTACATCCTCAGCCCTAGAAAATACATGTCTGTCTAGATATAGTGGACCACTCTTCAAAGAATTTTAAGCCTAAAAATAAGGCTGTTTAAATATATTTTTAGTTACTATTATAAAACTAAGAATTTAAGACTTCTTAGTTTTAGGGTTAGTGCAGAAAGAACTCAAAGTTAAGTGTACTCTTTTGATACTTCATTTATGGAAAAATGCCTGTATTTTATCTTCGGTGGGTTTGTTTTGTGGTACTGGGGATTAAGCCCAGGGCATCACACTGAGCTCCATTCCCAGTCCTTTTAAAAGTATTTTTATTTTGAAATAGGGCCTTGAAAAAGTTGGGGGATGCCTGAAGATTGACCTTTTAGTAAATCATGGGGCTGAATAAAGTGCTTATTCCACCAACAATCTTTTTTTTTTTTTTTTTAATCGGTACTGGGGATTGAACTCACGACCACCTGCTTGCAAGTCAGGTGCTTATGCCGCTGAGCTAAATCCCCAGCCCCCCACCAACAATCTTACCTAGTCTACAACCTGGCATCACATAACTATATTAGCATATTGTGTTTCATTTTGGTACAAACAAAATGAAACACAAAAATGTTTAACTTTGTAAACAAAACCACTTAAAATACTGAGACTTGTGAGTACAACAAAGTCGAGTGAGTTAAATTAAAGAGCTGCCTGGCCTTGTTTATATTTGGCAAACAGGAAACAGAAGATATATACAATGGTCTATTAGTGGAATCAGCCTGGATGATCCATAGCAGCCCTTTGCCTGACAGCGCTCATCAGTTTCCTGAACTGCTGCAAAGGATCCTAACCCATTGGGACCCTTGGCCTGTGAGAGGGAATTAAGTTGGTACAACATCCCCAAAATGCTCTACCACCATACAGAACTCTTCACTGGAGAAGGGCATGCTGGATTGGCTGGACTTCCCGAGCTCGTTAGTACAGTGATGGGGCTTTATTTTGGAAAGAAGTTGGAGCAATCTCAGATCTATGCCCTGATTTTGTTCTCCGGATAAGGTCACAGGAGGTCTGAAAGTTCCTTTGAAAATGCCAGTCTTGGGGCTGGGGATTTGCTCAGCGGCATAAGTACCTGCCTTGCAAGCAGGCGGTTGTGAGTTCCATCTCCGGTACCGATAAAAAGAAAAAAGAAGGAAAAAAAAAAAAGAAAGAAAATGCCAGTCTTCACTAACTGACAGCCTCCCTGAACTGCCCAGGCTCTGCCTGCACCAGCCGCCATGCAGCCAGAATGCTTTAGACACCTGCACACCAACACAGTATCATGCTGGTGTGAAAGCTTTCCTCTGTGAGGTAAGAGGCAGTTCTTTAAAGCAAATGTTTTGATTTGTAAACTGCCTTTTTATCTTTTGCTAAAAATTTTTAATGCCTTCAAGGTTAAGCAATCTTTAATATGATCATTAGGAATACCTGGGAGTTTGAGATACACTCTTCTCACTGAATTTGATACCCTAAATAATTTTGTCTATAGCATGCCAGAGTTGTACTCTAAGATACTTAGCAGGAATGCCAGTCTTATTTCCCTTCAGTAGCAGAAAATAAATGAGACAGCTTTCAATATAGCAGTGGGGCCATGCTATAATTAACTTTTTTAAAAATCTAAAATTTTTATGCCATTAATCAACTATATAATATGCACAAGCTTTCATAAATCTCTGTCAAAACTACTTTTGTGTCTTCTAAAAGCTGAGTTTTGAAGTGTAGCATAATGCACAAAATGCATGCTCAACAGATTGCTGGGGGAAAGAGAATAAACTTGCGATGTACCTGGGACTGCTTGGGTTATGGAACTCATCAGTCCCACAGCTGGCTTCACTGAGGCCAGGGCAGGGGTTGTGCACAGCATAGACAGACATGCTAGGATGTTCAATGAGCAGGTTTTCCAGAGGGCTGGTTTCCACCTTGATAGTGGTTAATCCACCTGCAGTGAAACACGGGGGAGGGGTGATAAACCAGCTCTCCTCCATCGGGCACGACTCGAACTGCAGGAAGCAGGAATCACTGCTGTCAGCCAAGCACTCCAAAGTTGCAGGCAAACAGGAAAAGACTGAAGGGTGCTCGGTAGGCGACTCCTGACTGATGTCATTGTCGTCTTCTTCCTCCTCTGCTGAGAAACCAGTGCAAGTATCTAGATCAAGTTCCATGTTGCAGTTCAGATGCGTAGAATAGGTTCCACAGAAGGATGGTCATGTCAGGGTACAGCATGAGAAAAGAGAGACAACACTGTTAGCTGATGCTCACGTTCTTCCCTTCAGTTTAGAAGCAAGACCGCTTACATTCCCTCATAACTTATAAAACAGTTTCCAAGTACAGCGTCTGGTGGCAGGCACACGACCCAGGCTTTGCAGGAATGGCTTTAAGACTGTTTCTGTTCTGCTGAACAAACACAGTGAGCCGCATGGGTGGAGGTTTCCCACTAACGTCCCTCTCTCGGGCTGGGTCATCCTGTGTGAGTTGCAAAATTGGAAAATCTGACATTAATTTCTCTGATCATCTAGCACAAAATATTTCTTGATTTTCCTTTTTCTTTGTGGCACCGGTGACTGCACTCAGGACCTTTGCATGGAGCCCTTTTGATTTTTATTCTGGGATAGGGTCTTGCTAAATTGCTCTGGCTAGGCTTGAATTCGTAATCCTCTTATCTCAGCCCCAAATTGCTATTTTTTAAAAAAACAAATTCTTGTTCACTTTGAAGGTTTAAAAACCTTCAGTTACTGGTTTATTATAAAAAAAATAACATGCAAGTGTTTCCAGTTACACTGTTAAGACTGACCACCTACCTATAAAGTCAACAAGAATCCATTCATCATCTTCTTTCTCACTAAATTCTGGTTCTTGGTTAGAAGGAATATTGACTTCACCCACAAACATTTTATTCAGCCTCTGGAACATTGTTAAGGCAAGAACAAGACTTTGGCTGATGTCTTTATAGCTGAGATTTCAAAACTCTGCCTTTACTTGGCCAGATGGCACAGACAGGAAATTAAAGTGCGCAGGGTGCTTAATTCAACTTAAGTGAAAATCAAGAAGAGTCATTAGCCCTAAAACAAAACAGAAAAACAAGGTTATTTTGAAACAGCAAATGTTTATGAGTACACACGCACGTCCCCTTGGAAGACAGTGTACATCTTAGCCTACACTATACCTGCTCCCTTCCTATGGGACTCAAACACGAGCCATGCAACAACTTTTCTAAAACACCAGGGATCAAGTATTCATATGCATGTAAATACCCTGAAAGATAAAAGGGGTGGAGCTAGATTTGTTCACATGTATGCTTTTATGAATCTGAATGACTGATTTTAATCTCAGTACTTATTTTCTGTAGTAGAGGGGTGAAGACTACAGATTAATGGCCTTGCTGTGATACTCAGCTGTCCAGTCTTTTTCCAAATGAACTGACAGTAACGCTTGGGGACCACCATTATGCCAGGCCCTCATTTCCCTCTCTATTCTGTACTTCCTGCTTCCGACTTTAAGCACACCTAAATACTGTACAGTTAAATTTGACTACTACAGCATACTGTGGCCTTCAGGACAATGTTGGCATGGACTGTACACTACAGAAAGCTGAGCCAGGCAGAAACTGGAACTGGAGACACTGTTCCTTGTGTGGCTTAGCAGGTGGACGCTTGAGCCGCTAGTGTGCCTGGGTTCAAATCCTGGCTCCGCTGCTTAATGGCTAGAAGATTTGGGAAGCTACATGGTTTTCACTGGCAAAAGCTCCTTCCTCTGGGAGTTCTGCTGAGGTCTAAATGACAAACTTGGTCTTATCACAGAGTTCCAGGTTCACAATATTAATTTCTATCTGGTTACCTGATAGCATACCAAACTGATTAAGTATCAAAAAGAACTTTTTATGATTCCTCCACAAACTTATTCATATGCCCTGCCTTTTGTCCTTTCTTGGTATCAGAAGTATCAGCCCCCAGTAGTTATTATTTGGGCTGGAAATCAAGGAGTTTACTCTTGAGTCCTTCTGCTGCTCCCACCAGTGCTTCTGCTGTCCACCCAGCCCCTCCTCCAACCCACCAGCACGTCCTGTGGACTTTGGCTGCACCATTCTCATCCAAGTTAAATCAGCCTGCTGTCTCTCCAAGACTGCCCAAAGCACCTCCTAAACTGTATTACATTCAACCACAAGGGTCCTGTCCAGATCCGACTCCTTGATCCTACTCTTGTTAATGATATGACGCAGGCAACGACCTAATCAGCACACCTGTTCTGTGCAGTTTTCTGCCCAAGTCAACTATTATTCTACAAATATTTACTGAGCACTTTTATACGTCAGGGCTAGAGCTGAGCACTGGGGAGACAGCAGCAAAGGAGGCCCTCCTGCGGCAGGTGGAGCCATCCAGTGGAATGAATGCCATGGGTGAACTGAACAGTCCTCAGACCTTGCTGGCTATGCCGCTGCAGTAAGTGGCTTTAACCTTCCGTGGCTGTGATCAGGAATGGAGGGTGGGCAGGAACACTACAAATCCTGCAGACGAGAATGTGGTGCCTTCTGTATGGCTCCGGAACTAGAGAGACGGTCTCAGGAGCAAGCCACAGGCTGAGTAGGAACCAGATCCTGCAAGGCCTTGAAGGGCAGATGTTATGAAAGAAAAGTCAGAAAACTCAACTTGGTCACCAAAGGGACAGGGAGACCATTTAGAAGACTAAGAAAACTGCAGAAAGAATGGGTTGGGCATGGAAAGAGCTGCATATGGACAATCTGATGATACAGCTGGAGATTCTAGTAGGCAGGTGGATTTAGGAATAGTTGGATGCAGCAATTTGGGAACTGTCAACACAAAGGGGGTAACAGAAAATTTAAGAATCAACGAGATCACCCAGGGATACAGAAGCATCTTACTAATCACTTTCTCCCCTCACTATGGGGAACTGAGCCCAGCGCCTCACATATACTAGGCAAGTGCTCTACCACTGAGCTATATCCCCATCCTTTTTGTAACTTTGGATAGGGTCTTGCTAATTTCCCAAGCTGACCTCTAACTTGGGAACATCCTACCTTGGCCTCCCAAGTAGTTGGAATTACAGGCAAGTACCACTATGCCAGCCTAATCACTTATCACAAGCATGAAGCATAACTTCAGGCTCCTTTACTTTCATAGTGGTCATCTCCGCTATTAACGTACTTGAGGATCCTGCTTCACTACCCGTATATAAACTAGGCCGCTACAGTTTGGCACACAACTGCATGAGTAGAACATCAAGACGAATGACAGTAGGACACTGTGTCACAAGTCATCTCTAGCCATTAATTATTAAAGGTAGGTAAACAGGAAGTATCACTTGCATAACCAGTCTCTTTCTGAAACCTTCTGCAAAGCAACACAGCCAAATCAGGACAGCTGGAGCTCTAGTATGAGAACTCAAATGCAGCTTTCTGGTCTGTGTAAGAGAAATCAGGAGAGAAGCAAGCTGTGTAGTTTGCAGCCCGTGGTGGGGTGACAGCCGTCTCCTGGCAGATGAGCCATCTCAAGGTCTGATGGAAATAAAGGGTTTTGAGCATACCTGCTAGGAGGGAAAAATGTATCTTCAAAACCTTGTCTCATTTTGCATTCACTGAGCAGCTGAGAGGATTACTCTCTTTTCCAGCGCACAGGGCTGGACTCTGGCCCTGCATCAGCTAAGCAGCTGGTGTCAAGGGGTGGGACCGTTCTCTTGTGCTGAATGTGCACCTTGTCCCCTGGCCTGTGATGCCATCTGAGGGCAAGGCATGGGGATTCAGGTCAATACCAGCTATGGTGCACGCCATACTGCCAGGCCATGGGAGCAGCTTTGAGTTCCCAAATGCAAGCTGCCCCTCTGGCTACTGTCCAGCTTGTACAGAAGCCAGCTGGTACCAGTATATCTGGGACTGCCACAGGCAAAGCGGCCCTGAAGGGCGCTCAGCACAAGGCAAAGTTCTTGGTCTCCTGAAGTCAGAGGCAGACTCTAGCCATCTATTTCTTTGTATGGACCCAGCCATGGGTGAGCAGAGTACAGAAGCCCATCAGAGTCACTACTGACAATGACATGAAAATGCCCAGGGTCCTGTGGCAGGAACACAGACTGGAGTCTGGGAGAGGGTGGAGGAGCGCTGGCCTAGGGAACAGAAGCCCTGCCTCTGGGTTCTAAGGCAGGTTGCTGGAACTGAACAAGTCAGCCTTTCTGAGCCTGTCTCACTGGCAGAGAAATGGGTATGCCTTGTAGGACTGCCTCTAGGCAGTGCCCACAAACGTCCAGCACAATAAAGAAGCGAGGTTAGTCTAAGAACGCAAAGTTCCTTTAGCCCTGCTTTCTGTAGGTATCACAAAGATCAGGGAGCTGCTGGAAAGACCCTACCCACCAACACTGCCCAGGGAGGTAGGCACCAGGCAGGTTCCATAAATGAGCCCTCAGAATGTGACTAGTGTGAGCAACACACTGCATTTTAAATTTTAATCCATTTAAATTTAAAAGCTGAAGTTGGGCGTGGCAGTACATCTATAACTTCAGCACTCTGGTAGCCTGGGAAACTTAGCAAGACTATTTCAAAATAAAAAACGCTGGGGAAGAAGTTTAGTGTGAAGGCCCTGGGTTTAATTCCTAGTACTGAAAAAAAAGTAACTGAGCCAAATTTTTTAAAACGCTCAACTATGTTTGGAACCATTAAGGTACACGAATCTTTTTCAACTGTAAATTTTATGGCATCTAAATTCAAGATTTTTCAGTGCAAACTTAGCATCTAAATTGACAGACTGCATATATATATATATATGTATATATATACACACACACATATATACACACAAATATCTGCAAGACTTAGTAGCAAAAAAATGTTTTTTAAATAAGGAGGGGAAGGGAATGGGAATAAAAGCAGCAAGATATATCATGTACAGGTACAAATTCCCTATGGTGAAAATTATAATATATACATCTAAAATGCACCAATTAAGGATATGTAAAAATCTATTTCTACCTTGATTATATGTTACAATGATTAATTTTGGATATATTAGGCTATACATTTATACAATGAGTATCACCTGGTTTTTTCCTTTTAACATGACTCCTAGAACGCACAAATGGCCCACATTGTGTTTCTGTTGGACAGTGCTGTTCTAGAAAAACCCCCTCAGAACTTCGGTGTCGACCCAAGGGCTGGCCCTGTTTAACCACTGCTCCTGGTGATTTCGGTTTCTGCCTGGGGCTGCAGCCTCTCCAGGCTGGGGCTGCTTCTATGTGGCACTAAAAGGCAGGCCAAAGGTTGCCCTTCTCTCCTCCTGACCTGGTCACGCACTGTTTGCGAGCCACACATCTAGGGCAGTGATGAAAACTAAAATGAAAGTTCTGCAGAAAGCCCAAGTCCCAAGAGGTCAGACTGACAACACAGCTCTGGGATGAGCAGAGGGAATAGGAAAGGCAGGCCAGGGCTGCTGCTCTCTCAGACACCTGCGAGCTGCGGGCTGCAACCAGTCTCGCCCAGCAAAGAAACAGTATCAGGACTCGGGCATCTGCAGAAGGCAGATGTGCCCTCTCCTCTTGGGCTCAAAAATATATCCTCCTCCATTCAAAAATAAATCACATCTTTTTCACTATAAAATGAAAATGCCAAATAGTCTAAAAATGTAAGGAAAAGAATTATTAACTCATTGCTTTGTCCAGTCATTGTTAGTGTACTGGATCAGTTTTTCTATTTCTCTTACAGTTGTGGTCCAGTGAAAGCACAATCTGTATCTCCTGCTTTGTTACTTAATATTGTGTCATCAGTGTTTTTCTTATTATCACAAGGGCAGAACGGTTCTGTGGGCTGGCTCTGGAGGAAGCCTGCTGGATCACACATCTTGGCTCTGCTGCTGCAGACTGTGAACTCAGGGTTACTTAGTAACCTCGTGGGCTCCAGTTTTTTTCATCCTTAAACAGGAATGATAGTCAGAAAGCCTACTTCTTAGTGCCAACACCAGGATTAAGTGTGTAACATTCAGAACAGTGCCTGGCACATGGAAGGCATTCAGTAAATATTAACTACGGGTTCATTGCAGGCCAGCTGTGAGAACAGGAGCAAGTCAGTCAACATCTTGGGGCCAAGTTTCTTTATCTGTAAAATGTCCCTATAATAATTATAGCTTCCATGTACTGAGTATGTATGTGACTGGGACTTCAAGTATTTATTTGCCTTATTTTACTAATGAGGGAACTGAGGCTCAGAAATTAACTTGCTTTGAAAGGGACCGAGCCCAGCACAGGTGGAGCGAATATGAGAGCATGAATCCTTTCGGTTCCAGTCCCTTGCTTTTCTCTGCATAGGATCTCTCCGGTTCCTTCCAGACTCACTGTGATTCTATGAGCCAGAGAACAGTACTTTTCAGTTAGTTTTGGCTGCCAGTAGGCGGCTCTAAAAAACAGTATTTTTAAATTAAAAAAAGAAAGAAAGAAAAACAACCACAAATCTGATGCATGCAGCTGTTGCTCCTGGACAGTTTTGAAATAGGAGGTGGCTAAACACACCTTTGTTGACAGAGCTTCAAAATTATCTTTCTCTTTATATCCACCCCCTCCTACCCGTTTAGAAAATTTAGGATGCTGACTCAAACACTTTAAAATCACTTTTGAACTTCAGAAAAACAAAACTAAGAAAGCCGTCTTTGCTTATTCCACTTCTGCTCCTTCTATTCAGTGGTTTACAAGGGACTTCATTCTCCCCACAACCCACCACAGTCTGCCCTGCGCCAGTGGACAAAGACAGCAGTGAGTGGTACTTCACTGCCTGTTAACCTTGACTCGTGAGTTCGATCCCTGGTACCGAGAAAAATGAAAAAGACAAAAAAAAAAAAAAAAAAAAGAAAGCTGGGAACTTCCCAAGGGAAATCAGAGAGTTCACAAAAGAACAAAAGATAGGATGAGCAAACAAAAGAGACCTTAGTCACTGAAATTAGCAGGTCCTGGTTCCAAGTAGGGGCCCTTGAAAATTATGCTGCCAGTTTATATTATATTGGCTTGTGGACTTAAAATTAACAGCTTCCCAGTCGCTTTTCACACCTGCAAATGAAAAGGGTAATTCAATTACCAAGCAAGTGGTTTCAGGGTCTTGGGGAAGTTGGGTCACGTCTCACCTACACCCCCGACCGGCTCCTACACCCCCTCGCTTTTTTTCTCAGAACTACTTGGCATCCTTTCAGCGAAGGATGCCCAGGTTCTTAGAAGACACAGATGGAAGGAAAGCAACTCCTTACTCTCTAAATTCGAATTCACACACTAGGCAAACGTACTCCGAAAATACAATCAAAACAAAACTCCCACGTGAAATTCATTTGCAACTTCGAATCACTAAACAGTTCCTTTTTATTCGCGGTGTGGCCGTATATTACCTAACCTCTCTGTGCCTCCCTCGAACTTCCTTTCCGTAGAATATAATTAGGCCTGCCCCCGGAGGGTGGTGACGGCCAAGCCGCTCACTGAAAGCCCTCACTCAAGCGCAGGAGACCGCACAGGTGACCGAAACGGTCGCGATTTCCCGAACTACGGGGACGCCAGGCGCTCGTTCCGCAGGTGCAATCTCGCGCCGCGTTGCGTGAGATCGAGCGGGGCGAGGCACCGGCCGGCGACAGCTGGGCGGGACCCGGGAACCGCAGCTCGGGGAGCGCGGGGACAGCTGGACCCCGCGGGGGGACGCCCCTCCGAGCCCGGCGTCGAGCTCCAGGAGGCGGCGGGGCAGGTCCGCCGCGTGCACGCAGCCAGGCCGGGCTCGGGGGAGGAGGAGCAGGCGGAGCCCGAGCCCCCGCCGCCGCCGCTCGTCCTGTCCGCGCCCGGGTCGCTGGGGTCGCGGGACCCGGAGCGCGGCCGGACCCGAACCGCCGGCTTCGGTTCAGTTCGGTTCGAGCTGAGCACCGGCCCTGCCCGCACTTACATAGGCCGAGCCGCGGCGGGCGCTGCTCGCAGGTCCCGGGACGGCGGCGCGGGGCGGCTCCAGCCTCCAGCTGCCCCAGGCCGCCGCCGGCGTCCGGGTCCTTTTGTTGCGGCGCTGCGCTCGCTCGGAACAGCTGATCGCTGCAGCGCCGCCCCGGCCGCGCCAGCGCCGGCCCTACCAATCAGCGGCGCCGGGGCCGCGGGGCCGCCCTGCGAGAGGTTGTCACCAACGCACGTGACCTGGCGCCGGCTCGCGCCGCTGGGGCTCGAGAACAAGCCCGGGCAACAAAGCCGGGAGCCGGGGAGGCCGAGCGGGCGCGGGGCGCGGGGCGCGGGGGTGGGGTGGGAACGCGGAGCCTCAAGGAACGGGCAGGAGCCAGGCGGGGGCGCACGACCTCCCTGGCCCCTTTTGACCCCTGGAGGAGCACAAGGTTTGGGGCACCGGGAACACATTTTTTTTCCCTGTAAGAAGACCGTTAGGGACACCGAGAGTGCGGAGGATAAATTCTCCAAGAGCCCCCGCGGGCCGGTGTAAGGGTGACCCTGGGACGGTGACCAAGGCGAGCTCCTCTGGATCCCACCCAGTACAGGGGATTCCAGCCTGCTCAACCCCTGTAAGGCGAGGAGCCAGGCCCCACCTGCGTGGAACTCACCTTGGGAGCTGACTGAACTTGTCCCTAGGATGTGCCTTGAGGCAGAAGCTAACAGCCCAGGCCAGAAGGCAGCGGGGGTCAGGACCCTCCAAGAGCTCTGTGCCGCCGGAGAAGAGCGGAGAGCGGTTTTTCCGCGCCTTGTCCGCTGTGGATCTGAGAGTTTGCACAGGCAGCAGAGGTTAGGATCTCTCCTGTTTACCTGCGAACTCTGCACATTCTCACGGGGCCTGCCTACTCACTGGCTATTTATAGTCTGAAGAAAACGAGACCATGCACTTGACAATGCCTTCCAAACCAAAGCTCTGTACTCTCGCAGGAGGCTTAATTGTGTCTGGTGTGGGCAAGGGAGTCGTGTTGAGGTATATCAGTTCCTGTGGATCCTGTTTGGAGTGAGATGTAATCCTCTGACCCAAGTGAAACGTATACGTATAGCAACTCTCCAGATTGCTGTCACCACTACAGTCTCCAGAAGACTCACTCAGACCCAAGAATGGCTTGGTCAGTTTGTTTCAGGAAATTGACATTCAGAGTAATAATGATCAAAACGATGAGGTGTTCACTTGACATTACAGATTACCAGGCTGTAATTTGCGGACTGACAGTTTCATGGAATTAGACATGATCTGGATGTTAAGACAAAGCAAGTCCACACTAATGTTTTTCTCTCTAAAATTCACTGCTATACTAGGAGTCCCCCACAATCTCTTGTTTCTCCTTAGGAATTCAAGAGGACAGCGTCTTTCCATCTAAAACCAAATTATGGTAACTTATAAAGGTCTCATTTTTAAAAAAACATTAAACCCTATCTTTTTCCAACTTGCTAAGGTTTATTATAGTATAGGGCCACAGTGCCTTGTGCTAGAGAAAACAATGTGAAGTAGATGTGCAGAGGTGGCGGCCACAGTGCATCACCCCATCATAAAGGGGAGTTTTTTCCTCTCCTTGAATCTGGACTGACCGTGTGACTGCCTCTCATATAGTGGAAATAATGTTCTCCGACTTCCTTGACGTTAAGAAAATGTAACAGTTTCCACTTTGCACCCTTCGGGGTGGAAATGCAAGGCTTGGGGAAAGCCGGCTGCTACAGGAAGCCCAAGCGGCCACATAGACAGGCCACAAGGCAGGAGAGATGCCTGGACAGCTGCTGACCCTCTGGCCCGTCAGCTGGGTACTAGACATGAATGGGAAAAGCTCTCTAGGAAGTTCCAGCCTCAGCTGACACCGGGTGAAACAGGCAGAGATGCACCATCCTCTGAAGCCTGCCACAAAGCAGAGTCCCAAACAGACTGCTGCTGTTCTGCAGTCCTGTAGCCAGGGCCTCACACAAGCGAGGCAGGTGCTCTACCACTGGGCTACATCCTCTGCCATTCACTGTTAAGACAGTAACTCTTGAAGCGGGTTGTGTTTTGTTTTGTTTTGCAGAGCCTGGCATTGAACCTAGGGCCTCATGCATGCTGCGCAAGTATTCCAGCAATGAGCTATATCCATAGCCCTTTGGGTACTTTTTAAAAGCAGCAGTAGATAACCAAAACACGAATCTGGGGACCAGAAAGGCCTATCACAGATAAATTATCTCTAAATTCCACAAAGTAGAGGGGTTTTGGTTTTGGTTTTGCTTCGTGTTGTGATACTGAGCTTGAGCCGAGGGCCTTGGCACTGAGCATCACCCCAACCTCGCTTGCTTTATTTATTTATTTGTTGGTAGGGGAATTGTACTCAGGACCCTGTGCTTGCCAACCAGGCACTTATGCCTCTGAGCTAAATCCCTAGCCTTGCTTGATTTTTTGAGACCCAGCATGAATTTGTGATCCTCCTGCCTCAGTTTCCCAGAGTGCTGGGAGCACAGCTGTGTGGCATGATGCCCAGGCAGACTTTCGTTACTTTAAAAAAAAAAAAAAAAAAAGGAACAGTGGGCTGGGTTGGAGTCTAGTGAAAGAGTGCTTGCCTGGCGTGCTCAAAGCCCTGGGTTCAATCCCCAGCCAACACACACACACTCACACACACACAATCATCTTATCTTTGGAGTCATTTGCTTATAATCTTGCCACCTGGTACTTGTTTATTCCAGTGATATGGGGGGGTGTCAGAAGTCTGCCCCCGAGAGGGGGAGCATTTTATTACAGACATTGTTTGAAATTCTTGGGACATGATAATAATAAAAAGCAAACTGACATTTAGGTTTATTGATTTTAAATTCTGTATAGACAAAGATACAAAAAGCACAAAGTGCTTCACAGCCTGTTGCCCACACCTGGGATGCTGCCTCTTCTGCTGTTTACACACACACACACACACACACACACACACACACATGCCATAAGGCTCAGGAGTAGTGTCATCGCCACAGCAGAGAGCTGTCTGAACACAGCTGGACTGTCAAACCACACAAGTGCCAACCAGCCTCTCATCTGTTGGCTGACAAAGACCCAGCCGGTTCCCTGCCTGGGCAGACCCAGTGAATCCAACCATCCTTTAATTCACAGGATAATTCTTAGAGTGTTGCTATAGCACCCAGCTCCGGGCTGACCCCCGCTGCAGGGCTGACCCTTTGGCCATCTGTCAGCACACCCTTGTCTGTTTTTCGTGAAGCTCAATACACTCCCTTATCTACCCACACAAAAGGGATTCAACCTCAAGTTTTGTTTGAAGGACACAGGGCAGGACCATATCTATGCCAACATCCAGACACTGCACAGTGCAACTAATGTGCCTGCCTCCCACTCGTGAAAATGAGTTGTGGCGGTTGCGCTGCCAGTTGCATCCAGGCTGCTGAAGAATGTTTCCCTCTCGAGCCCCTAGGGGAACCCCACAGGCTGCAAAGCACATACAGTCTGCTCAGCCAAACAGCAACAAGTTGCACTGTGGAAAACACCAAAGTGAAGTCCACTTAGGTCATTTTCAGTCTGCTCATCCACATGTATGTCTGCTGGGCTTTGAGCATGCTGCCAAGTGTCTGGAAAAGACAGGAATGACCTCTGAAACTATATTTTAGAACAATCACTTATAATTCTAGCAAAACCTATTGTTCCAAGAGAAGAAAAAAGAGAAGCTGTGTGCACCACAAAGCCTGAAACAGAAGGGAGCAAGACATTCAGTGAGCCTGCTTTCAGAAACAAAAGTAAGACGGAAATCTGTCGGGGCTGCCAGTGACCATCTGGGGAAGAAGTCAGAAGTTATTTTGGGGCCATAAGTGTGATTGTTTTTCAAGACCCTGCAACCTTCTCGACTTCTGTATTTTGGATTTTGAGTTTTAATTTGTTCTTTGGTGCTGGGCACTGAATCCAGGCTCTTCCTCAGGCTTAGCACTTCCTCTATCACTGAGCCCGTTAGTTTTTGAAACCTACTTTCACATGTGATTAGAAGATCTTGTAAATAAAAGAGGTCTGTGTGCTGGCAGCCGTGCCAGGCATAGGGAGGGGCTCGTCTCGCAGAGCCCCCCAGAGCTCGTCCCGCAGCACTTTCCCAGGCTCTGTAAAGGCTCAACTTTAAGACCTTTTAGTTCCTGGGTGAATGTACAGATAGGTCCACTATTTGGAATTATGTCGGACCATCCTTACACAGAGGAAAGCAGGCTCCTCCCGAAGTGGGAATGGTCTGGCTGGTGCATGCACCAGCACCCTGGCCCCTGGGAGCCATGAGACCCACCTGATGGGAAAGTGCCCTTGGTCCTGTGTGGCTGTCAGAGTGTGAGCAAAGGTCTTTTATTTACTCCCACAACCAAAGTACCTCTTCACTCTCTGCTTCTTCTGGGTTACTGCCCAATCAATGGCCTTTATGGACCAGAAGCAATCTGAGGTGGGATTTGTGACCATAAATTGCTCCATCACGGGGACAGCATAAATAGACTGTGTCTTCTGCCTTCTCCAAACAATGACACAGATCATATGACTGCTACTGATGTACACTTCACACTGCGTCAATAACACATCTACTTAATGAACGATTATTCTTTTTTGCTTGGATGAACTGCCTTAAATATCCAAGACACTTTGTGAGATTAATTTGTGTCCTTTAATGTCCAGGTTTTTCATGGCTTTGTGATTTCTGGGCCTAAACATTTTGATCTCGAGACAGAGGATGAGTAGTGTAGTCCCACAAAGGTTTACAAAGGTTTCATTGTGTGTGTGACGCTAGGCATTGAACCTGAGGTTTTATGCATGTTAGGAAAGGGCTCCTTATCCAGTGCTATAAATGTTGAACATTATTTGTTAATTAACTCAAGTCCACAAAGTGCCCACTGTGTTCATAGCATTCATTCATTCATTCATTCATTGTCTAGTAGCATTTACTCTGTTCTAGGCACTGGAGATAGTAGTTAGGAAAACAGACTAAGTTTCAGCCCTCAAGGATCTTCCATCCAGTAGAAAGGATACAATAAACAAATATGTGGAGAACTACAGAGATGACTCTCCTTGACTCTGCTTGAAAAGAGGAGCAGTTATCTCCATTTTGGATAAACTTGGCCCAATCTCTATGTATTGATA